AGATGTGGAAGCTCTTGGTTCACATACTGTTGAAACCTAGCTTGAAGTATTTTGAGCATTACCTTGCTAGCGTGTGAAATGAGTGCAATTATACACTAGTTTGAACATTCTTTGGCATTGCCCTTCTTTGGGATTACAATGAGAACTGACCTTTTCCAGTCCTGTGACCACTGCTGAGTTTTCAAATTTGCTGATATACTGAGCACAGCACTTTCACAGCATCATCTAGGATTTGAAATAGCTCAGTTGGAATTCCATCACTTCCACTGGCTTTGTTTGTAGTAATGCTTCCTAAGGCCCACTTGACTTCACACTCCAGGATGTCTGGCTCTAGGTGAGTGACCATACTATCACGGTTGTTTGGTCCATTAAAGACCTTTCTTGTACAGTTCTTCTGTGTATTCTTACCACCTCTTCTTAATCTCTTCTATTTCTGTTAGATCCTTGCAGTTTCTGTCTTTTATTGTGCCCATGCTGGCATGAAATGTTCCCTTGATATCTCCAGTTTTCTTGAGGAGATCTTTGTTCTTTTACATTCTATTGTTTCCCTCTATTTCTTTGCATTGTTCATTTAAGAAGGCCTTCTTATCCCTCCTAGCCATCCTCTGGAATTCTGCATTCAGTTGGGTATATCTTTCCGTTTCTCCTTTGCCTTTTGTTTTTCTTCTTTCCTCAGCTATTTATAAAGCCTCGTCAGACAACCGCTTTGCCTTCTTGCATTTCTTTTTTGGGGGGATGGTTTTGGTCACTGCCTCCTATACAGTGTTATGCACCTCTGTCCAGAGTTCTTCAGGCACTCTGTCTACTAGGTCTAATCCCTTGAATCTATTTGTCACCCCCACTGTATAATCATAAGGGATTTGATTTAGGTCATACCTGAATGGTCTGGTGGTTTTCCCTACTCAATAAAAGTCCCTTATCATGTATGTGATTTGCAAATGTTTTCTCCCAATTTGTGGGTTCTCTCTTCACTTGATTGATGGTATTATTTAACTTCCAAAAGTGTTAAACTTTGATGATGTCCAGTTCATACATTTTTTTCTTTTGTTGCTTGTGATTTCTGTGTTGTATTAAAGAAACCACTCCTAACCCAAAGTCAGGAAGATTTACTCCTGTGCTTTCTAAGAGTATTAACTGGGATGTTTAGATCTCTGATCTATTATATGAATTTCTACATATGATATGAGTTGGGTCTAACTTTATTATTTTGGCTTTTCTATGTCTCTTCATCTGCCATGTCAATTTTAGAATTAGCTTATCAACTTTTGCACACAAATGAAACAGCCTGAGAGGCCAAAAGTGGTCAGATACTGGTGAAATTCAGAAAATAACAGGCAGAATTCTGGGCCAGGACTAGGAGCCAAAGACTGAGAGAAGGGAGGGGAGGAATTAGAGGGGAAGGTGATAGGATGGTCAGTGAAGCAGAAGGAGGAGAGGCTGGGGATGGGGCTGGAGCACCCCAGGGGAGGAAGGAGGAACTGAGTGTGGGTGCAGGATGGGCAGGTGACCAGGACTTTACGGAGACTTTCAAGGGTGCTGGTTTGGTGGAGGGCTGTGAGCTGGTGTGGGGAGTGGGGCCAGAGTCAGCTCTCCGGGGGTCACTTAAGAAACCAGATTGTGAAGGGTGTGGAGACGTGGAGCCCTGGGTCTGGGGTGTGAAATCTAGACAGATTGAGCTCTGTGAATGTGGACACCTCAAGCTTGTTGAAGAGTTGAGAAGCCCCAGGAAAGGGCCAATTAGGGGGATGAGCAAACATTTGAGAGGAAGATGGGCTGTGGTTGCTACTGCGAGGACACTTGTTTATGAAAAAAAGATTTTTTTGTTAACTATTTGTTGATTGGTTGGTTGGTTGGCTCAGGTCTCAGTCGCAGCATGAAGGGTCTTGTGTCACAGGGATCGCTCTGGTGCATGGACTCTAGTTGTGGCGTGCTGGCTTAGTTGCTCTGCGGCATGTGCAATCCTAGTTCCCTGACCAGGGATTGACCTGTGGACCTGCACTGCGTGGTCCATTCTTAACCCCTGGACCTCCAGGGATATCCCTAAGGACACTTTAATTGGCAGTGGAAAGAAGAACCTGTCAAACTTGGGGGAAGATGTGGGCTCAGCCAGGATGGGACAGAGTGGGGAGAGAGGAAGCCAGGGTCTGACTGATTCCACCCATGGGAGCATGGGAGAGCCAAGATGTGGGCTCCCACCAAGTGAAGACCCTCCCCCTCTGCTTGCTGGATGAGAGGCAGATCACCAGAGACACAGAATCTAGTGTAGACCCTGAAGACATCTTGACAGGAGTTTCTCATGAGCCCACAGGGTCTCGATTTCCAGAGCTAAACAGTCCACATGCCAAAGCGTCATGTGTTGGGGAGGCCTGATCCTACCCTGATTGGCCCTGAGCATGGGCGTCCTCCAGGACTCTGGCCTCAGGAGGGAGATGTCCTGCCCTGCAGCTCTGATGCGGCTCACGGGCCCTGGTGGCATTTCTGAGCTTGTCTGTCTGCCAGAGTCCTGTGGGGCCTCTGTGGGGTCAGATGCTGGGACAACATGGAGCAGGTGGTCCTGAAGGGACATCACGGCCAAGGCCACTGTCCTTGCCACATGCTCCCATGCAGCCCCTTTGCTCTGTGCGTCTGGGAGCAGGGGTTCAGAACTCACTAGAGACCTCTGAGCCTAAAGGAAGGGGTCTTGAGGAAAACCCTCCTCACTGCCGATTCCTGATAACGAGGACAGGGTCAGCCCTCCTCGCGGTCCCTGTGTGTCAGGCCTTCTAAGTCTCCGATGGCTCTTCCACCCTGTGATGGAGACGGTCGTTGGCAGGTGTGAGGGCTGCCTCCGCTGCCTGAATGTCCGCCGGCAGCCCGGCTGCTGGACGGGGCACCTGGGTGGCACCCCCTGTTGTCTGGAGGGCCTGCCTTTGGCCTGGGGACTTCATCATGATTTGGGTTTGGTTGGCGGGGGGCATCAAGTGCCTCCTCTGTGGCAGCCAGGGTGGACTGCGTCTTTGTTCTACTCCACGTGTCTGTACACTAGGGGTCTGGTCTGTGGGGACATATGTGGGCCCAGTGGGAGACCAAGAGGGCCCCTGGTTTCTCCCAGCAAAGGAGAAACACTGTCACATTTTACTGTAGTGACTGTGGTTTGCTATCAAAAGATTCCCAGGAAAAGGAAGGATTGATTGAAGGACTCCGTCAATCATGGATCCTTGTGACATGGTTCTGGTCTGGTGTTGTGTGCCTCTTGCAAATGTCTTCTGCATCCTGGGGGCAGTGCTGTTGAGAGGGAGTGATGCTGGGGCAGGTGTCCTTAAGGCCCTTGTGTGAGGCCTGAGTGAGTGTGGGGCTGTGGACACGTGACAGACCATGGGGAATGCGGGCGAGGGGGAGAATTCCCTCAACAGGGCTTCTCCTGGGGAGAGAGCAAAGAGGCCCCTGTAAGCGGGCTCTCTCCTGGCAGAACACAGCAGGCCCTTGGCATTGACGGGGCTCTTCCACTGCTGGGCTTCTCTGGGGTTGGAGCACTTCTCAGATATGTGCTGGGGGTCTATAAGGAGGGAACCATCCCTTTCAAAGATCTCAGGATGCCCCTTCCCTCCAATTCCCAGGGAGGCCTGCCGGGGTTAACCACTGTTTACGCATGTCACCATGACGAGGAATTTCACCAGATCCTCGCAGATCAGCCCAGGGTGCGGGGGAGGCACATGTGGAAAGGGAAGCCCACTTGTTCTGGGGACTCTGGCCTCCATTTTCACTGTGTCACGAGAGGCAGGGTCATTGTCCCTGTCTTTGGGTGCGGCACATACCCCGTGACCAGAACCATCCTTGTTGACTCATCTCCTGAGTTTCCTCCCTTCCCTCCCCTTTGACAGGGACTGTCTGCTCCCTCCTCACCACCCTTGCTGTTTGCCACACACCCCTTGAGGCTCCAGGGCCCTAGGCAACTCCTGTCATGGCGTTGGTGGGCCTGTTTCTTCTCGCTGCCTGCTAATGACCGTGAGGTACCCGGCCCAAGATGTCTGGTTCCCAGCTCTCAAGCCGAGTTCAGGGCCCGGCAGGTGACCCACAGCTCAGCGAGGGTGAGGCACGCAGTAGGCGCACACAGCAGGTGGTTTAACCCATTCCTCTGAAGGTGATGCATTAGACTGTTTGACAACCCATCTGCTTCCCTCTGTTTGTGCTGCTGGAGTCACAGGAGGCCCTTTAATAGATGGAGGCATTTCCAGACAAGAGGACACTCTGGCTGAAGCCACAGGGCTGCCCGGGACAGGACCAGTGAAGTTAGAGGAAAATAGTGTTTGGGAATGCACGTCGAAAACATGAGGAGAAGAAAGATGAGGGGTGTGACAGCACAATGCCTGACCTGCCTTCAGCAGAACCAAACTCACCTTCAAAGAGAAGAAAAACGCAGGAACATTCATTTCCTGTTTTTATTGTTGGTTACTTCGTGACCTTCCTTTGAAAGCTGCTGTTGTAGAAAGCTGGTTGTCATGGAAACAGGGAGTGTCGTGCGGGGAATAGGTACACAATGCATTTCTTTGTCCGGTCCAGATGATGCCTTTAGCCTCTGCTTTGACGTGTGAATTTATGTGAGGAATTAAATATTAACTGGAGGTACTGCCCTGGAGATAGGCAGACACAGAAGGAGAGGAAAGATGCCAGCCACCTGGGCAAAGTGGAGGCAAAGCTTTGGGTCTCACCTGACTGGCACTAGCCCCCTGTTCGGAGTGGCCGTGTTAGAGGAAATCTGCCCCCACTCCCCGACATGTCCCGTAAAACAGTGCCACAGCCAGGGTGATGGTTCTGGGTGTGGGCACTAGAAGCCTCTGAGGGGTGTCCCAAACAGAGAGTGATTTTCCCCAAAGAGCTCCTGTCTTTTGTCCCTGAAACAGCCAAGGGGCCCTGACCTTGGGTGTCTTTGTGGTACAAGTGCTATGTATAAGAGTGGGCCAATTTTCTCTATTTCTTCCCTTGAGCTGGTGTTCATTAGGGTTTCTTTTTCTGACTCTCAGAAAATGAGTTCCGGGGTGAGCTTCTGAGTCAGAGGTGGACACACGGAGACAAGGCTGACAACTGTAGGACCCCAAGACTCTTCCTGGGCGGACGCGGCAAGGTAAGGCACTCAGAGGGCAGCCCCTGGGTCTTGGCTAGAGTCCTTCTAACTCCTCGGCATGGAATGTGGAGGCGACTTTTGGTCTAGTTGTTATCAGTCCAGCTTAGGAGAAGCGTAAGTGGGGGCTAGGACCATCGATGATCTGGGCACTTTAACAATAAAGGAAGAAAAGTGACTCCGAGTAGGCTAAAACTTAAATGTGATGGCAGGTCCCGTCTGCCAAGTCTCTGCCCTGAGGCCCCATCATATGCAGCTCCCGAGGCACACTAGTCCCTGTTCTGTTCTCCCTGGGCAGCCTTCACCACAGGAACTCCTAAGGTCTGCGGGCTTGGTTTACTGCCATCTTCCCAAGTGGGGCCTGTGGTGCCCTGCTCACACCTGCCTGGATCTGTCTGGTGGAGGTGGCCTGGAGTCTCCACCTCCCAGTGGTGCTCCAAGCCCAAATATCACACACTTTTACAGCTGCACCAAGCCTGTAATTCTGGATGTCCTTGCTCCCCATGATGTGCTCTGGCAAAGCCAGGTCCCCAGGCTCAGGTGACCCTCAGAGGTGGAAGTGGGGTGACAACAGGCTTGGTGGGCATCCCTTCCCAGATCTCAGATTCCGACCTCTCGTATACTCTGACATGAACATGCTCTCCATCAAGGATCCAAGCCATGACCCAGAGCATGGCCACCAAGAAGTGGCGGCCCAGAGTACAGACAGGCAGGGCTGTGAAGTTTGAAGTGGCAACCTCTTTTGAGGGTGTGTGTATTTTTCTCTTAAAGCCCAACACTTTCCTTCTGAGTCTGGTGCCTGAAATGTACAGGGACGGGTCTGTCCTCGCATTGCCTCAGGCTCCTCCACTCACACTTCTACCCCTGTGTGACCATCAGTGCTTTGCTGAGCCATGTTTGAGTCTGCTGCAAAAGGAAAAGCCAGGAATGCTGGCCCAGTCTTTATTTAAATCTTTGTTCTTTTGTTCCTCATGGAATATTTGCATTGATTTAAATGTTCTAAAATGCTGCATTAAATGGTTATCTAATTTGATCACTTAGTTTTGCTTTCCCCTCAAGTTTGCATCTGACTGAATGCAGCACTCGCCTCACCCATCCAGCCCCAAGCATTCAGAGATCATGTGGCCACGACGCTCCTTGATTTGAGACCAGGGGCTCTGGGTGCTTTGTCTCCACAGTGGCTGGTGCTGTGGATGTGATGGGTAGGAAGGCTGCACTTGCCTATGGCTCAGGCGTGACAAGTTGGGAGGGTGTGGAACCTGCTGGGAAAAAGCTCACTGGCTGTGCTCAGCTTCTCCCCAGGGCCAGCATTTCACAGCTGCTCCATTATGGTCATTTCCTCTAGTTTGGGCAGATAAGGCCCTAGTTACTGCTCTGAGTAAAGAAGCTAAGACCAAGAGTGGGCCAGAGAAGGAGGGACTGTGGGGCTGGCGCCAGGGGCACCGTCTGACTGAGGAGGTGGAGAAAGGGTGGGAACACAAGAGGTCAGAACACACACAACAGAAGACTGGCCTGAGAAGGAAGTGGGGAGCTGGGGAGCTAGTGCCTGGAGAAGTCCTGTGTGGGAGGCAGTCACAACTGCCTGGACTCTGAGTTCAGCACCAGGCATGTGGACAGCTCATAGGTGGGTGTGGAAGCAGCTGATAGAATTTTGTTGTGTGCTTGTGAAAGTGCTGGGCATTGGGCCTTTTTTTTTTTTTTAAATTTAAGGAGAAAAGGGTAAGTATTGGTTAACCTCCTCTTGACCTTCAAGAAAGAAGTATTTAGGCCCCAGATTATGGGTGTTCAATGGGTGGCTAGAGATAAGCAACCCAGGAGCATAGTGAATGTATGGGTGCTCAGCAGAGCCTCCTTACTGTCTCCCCTAGTAGACACTCCCGACAGGGGAAGGGGTAGCACTGGGTGTGCCCTCTGACCCGCCTCATTGGATGTGGCTAGATTGCTACCCCTCAGAAGTTGGCAATTCCATTTATGTTGAAGTTTTAAACAGATGGGCCCAGACAAGGCTGCTTTATCAGGATGTCTATAACATAGCTATATAATTTTAATGTAGGGGTTACAGTGAGCCATGAGCTCATGCTTAGAGATGTCAGGAGAGTCCCTCCCAAGATGGGTATTAAATAATTCTCTGTGGGGTATCCTTTCTACAACCCAAGGAGAGGGCTGGTCTATGCAGCTGCTTATGGATTGAACAATGGGTGGAGTGTCAGAGAATTTCAGACACACACTGCGATGTTCCCAAGGGAGGGACACCGTTAGGAACCAGAGATGCTGTGGCGGTTGTCAGGAGGTGCAGAGGTGTGCCTGTGTGGTTTAGCCTCAGCTGACAGAGAATGGAGAGCAGAATGTGTACTGAAGGGGAGGTCCCTGAGATAGTGGGACTTCTTGAAGCAGAAGGCAGCTCTTGGGGCTGCCTGGGCTGGGGGCTGGGGAGGATCCTGCTAGAAGGCTTGGTGGGGAGAGGGAGCAAGGGACGTACTTGACAGCTGCTCTTAAGTCTTTAGGGGAGCGTCTCCCCAGATGTGGGAATGTGGATATGCCCAGTATTCTGCCCCCAGGCTATGCAACGGTGATGTGCCTGCTGGAGGCGCTCTTGGCTGTGCACACAGGACCAGATTGTGTCCTCCTCTGCCCCCTCATTCCCCCGCGCCCCTTGGTTTTGTTCGGTTAGGTATCTCTACCCTCCTTGTCGCATGTCATCCCTTCCTTCTAGGCATGTTGCTTGGTCTCGGGAGTCAGCAGACTTCCTTGTTTGGGTCTTCCCAGAGGAAAAAGGACTCTGTCACTCAAATAATCTTGTATGTTTAAAAAGTTGCCCCAAGTTCATTTTAATTCCCCAGCTTTGCAGGCTTTTGGATGTGTTCTAAGTAAAATGGAACGTGGCCTATTTCTTCCAGCCCAGGGCCAGTGTAGGTCCTCTGTGGTCTCAGGGGCCTGGACTCTCCTGCGACTCAGGGCTCTGGTTTCTGCTCTGATGGTCTTGGCCACCTTCCCCAGCTCCAGGATCTCAGTAGATGTTTCCGATTGTCCCCATTTGTCTGTCTGTCTACCTGTTTGTCTGACCTTACATAATACACCCTGAGTGGTGAATGAGGTCTCTATAGGGAGATACTGACCTCAAAAACATGAACCAGTGAACTTATTTCAGATGGAGATGAGCAGGCACAGAGGGGGAGTGAGATAGGGGGTGTGAAGAGGGAGGATGCAGGCCTGACCCCCAAGAGGAGTTGGCCACACAGGGATGCACCTTCTCTGTGGGTCAAAAGTACTCGCTTCCTGAGGCCTCCCTCTCTGAAATGTCCTCAGGTCTTCGCTGATCCATGGGGCCTCCCCACCCCTGCCCGGGCTCATGGCTAAGCAGCTCCTTCCTCTTAACATCCACCCTTCCTTGGAGTGAGACACCTGCTGCCTCAGGCCCCATAACTGGTGCCATTCAGGCCAGGAGCCCCTGCAGGGATGGGAGAGGCAGGTGATGTCCAGGGCCGCACAGGGCCAGGCTCTAGAATGGAGTCTGTCATTCAGCCCTTAGCTGTGTGCAGATGGGCAGGGACATGGTTCAGGGTGGAGAGGTGGGAAGCTCTTCAGTTGTCAAGGCCTGGGAAGAACCAGGAAGAAAAGAAAGTGAAAGAGAGGTAGACAGTCAAAGAGAGACAGAGAGATAGACAGTGGGATGGGGGAGGCACCCCTCTAGAAACCACCGCCAGGTCCCTGAACTAGGCAGGCGGTGGGCAGAAAAGGTAAAGTTCAGTACAAAGCCCGCTGGGCCTGACTGGATGTTCCTGGGGGAGAGCCCACGCTCTCCTGTGTATTCCTGGAGTCCTAACAATCACAGCCCAAGAAGCTGCTGGTTCAAGGTCATTCAGCACGACCTTGGTCCCAGAGTGTGTAAACGTCCAGCTCAGGGAACTCAGGTTTGGCAAGGGTGCCGTGGGACAGGTCTGAAAGGGGCTGGACATGTGAGAGCTGTTTATATTTGAGAAGAGCTTACATGCTTTACTAAAAAATAAAAAGCAAGGGACTTCCCTGGTGGTCCAGTGGTTAAGACTTCAGGCTTCCGCTGCAGGGGGTGCAGGTTTGATCCCCACTTGGGGAACTAAGATCCCAGGTGCCATGTGGCACAGCCAAAAAAAATAAAAACAGGAAAAAAACCAAATAGAACCAAGCATCACCACCCTCTTGAGTGAGACCATCTCGGGACACAATAGGGCAGGTTCAGAGGAAGGACAAAGAAACCGTTCTTGCTGGTCAAGAGATGTGGCCAGGGAGTGCTAGCATTTGTAGATTGTTCTTCTGTAGTTTTCCTACTGAAGTCAGCATGACTGAAGTGTTAACCAGAGCAAAGAGTTTGCGGAGTGCTGGGCAGCTGTGGACAGGCAGCTGGTGGCAGACAGCGCAGACCTGTCCTTGAGAGGCCTCTGGCCCCCTGTGGGGTTTGTCAAGGCTGTCTGGCCTGGACAGGGGCCTTTCACCCTCCAGGCAGGAGGCCACTCAGCTACGTGAAGGCTTTTCAGAAACAGGCATGGTTGGTTTGTGCTTGGAACAGGGGAAGAATTTTCAAAAATAAATCAGTGAAAAATTGGAAAGTGTCTCATTGTCTTAGCCTGTCTTCCCACGGTGGCAGAGGTGGTGCAGCCAGCAGGCCGAGCAGTGCTGCCCACTGACACGTGGGTGCACAGGTGCTGTGGGCCAGAGGACATGGAGAGCCACCCTTGGAGGAGGAAAGCTGGGTAAGTCCAGTGGAGCCAGTCAAACAGTTAAGAAATCGAGGTTTCCCTGCTTGTGCGTCGATGTGGCTTGTTGTTCTTACAGCTGATGCTCATGTTGAAAGGCTAACCCTAGTTCTTCCTCCCTTAGTTCAGTTTTTTTTCCCCTTTTTACATCAAAACTCCATGCACTGAGGAGAACTTCTCACTTATTGACCATTTGATGCAGATAAATTGCAAATGGAAAGGTGCTCGGCAGAATGAATGGCACAGCTGTCAGCTCGTCGACGTGAGCTCCCAGTGTGAGAGCAGCCCGCACGCATCCTGCAGCTCTCTCCATTCTGTGCTCTTTGAATAATTTATCTGCAGGAAATCCAAATTGCCAAGGCCCGCTTTAGCCCAGCAGAATGCTTGCCAATTTCCTTGGGAAAACTGACAAAAAAAGAGGTGTAGATTGCATTTCGGCTGAGAGTGGCTGGGCAATCAGAGCTCGGCCCCTTTGTGCCGCTGCATCGGAAGCCACTGCGCCGGGCTCACGCAGACGACATTTGAAGGCTCATAAATGTAATGAAGTCCCTTTGACACCTGCTCCTCTCTTCACTTTAAATGTGAGCCATTGGTCCATGGGGAACCTCCGCTTTAAAAATAGAAATTATAGTAATTGTCTTCCGTGCTGTCGGGAGGCTATAAATGCATGGCTCTCAGCTCTACTGCTTGCAATCGACGGCTGCAAGGATTACCCCAGGTTGTGATTTTTCGTCCTTAACAAATCACGTGTATGCTCATGCTGCTCAGGGGCAGGGGGGCTCCCTTTGCAAGTTCCAACTTATGAACTGGGGGGTCCATGGGAAGGGTGGGACCGTAGATACTGGACCTGTGCTGGTTTCTGGGGGACAAAGCCCCTCTCTGCTGCTCCCTTCTGGGCATCTGGCTTTGCTCTGATGGTCATGCAGTGGCAGGAGGGTGGGGGCGGCTTCCTCCCCTTCCTGGCCACAGGGCACAGCTGCTGGGTAAAGGCCCCTCCTACCTCCTGCCCAGACCCAGGCTGAGGATTCTCTGTGATGACCTGTGCCCCTGGGGGCATCCCTCCCCTTCCAGGGTTCTGCCTCCACTCCCTGAAGGACAGTGTGGGCAGCATTCCTATGGAAGTGGGTCTGGGGCAGAGAATGGGGGGCGGGAGCTCTGATGGGCTCGGGCAGATGGTTGGGTGACATGAGGGTCTGGATTGTGTGGGGCACCCACCCTCTCTGGGGCTCCACTCACTCTTTCCTGGGGGAATTGGCTTCTCTGGGAGGGTGACCTGCAGGTCGGGTCCAGATGACCCCTTAGCCTGCACTCCTACCCCAGCCTGGCTCTCACCCCTGACTCCTTCCCACCCCCAGAGCCTGCGCCATGGCACGTGGCTGATCGAACTCAGATAAGCTGTGAGTCCAGGAGATGTGCAGGATCTCTAAGAGTCAGCATTAAACAAAAATCCCAGTCATAATTTTTTCTATTGATACTGTTGAAATGATAATGTTTTGGATAGATTGGACTAAGTAAGATTTAAAATCAATTCCACCCATTTCTTTTTATGCTTTTAAGGTGGCTTTTAGGAAAGTTTAAATGATGTGGGTGACTGATACTCTATTCCACTGGGCAGTGTTGCCTGAAAACCCCTGGCTGTGGGGAGCACCCCATCTCATGTATGAGTGGCCAGGTCCCCAAACTCAGACTGTGTCCCCGGGATCTCCCTGGACGGCACCCAGTAGAGAGTGGAGCCATCCACTTGAAGCTTCATGGAGTTCTGCTCAGGTCCCAGGTGCCCGTTTCTAATAAGACAGTCCTTGTGTGCCAGGATCAACAACTGTGGGTGAAAGCCGGGCTCTCAGCACGGTGGGATCAGAGTCTGTGGCGGGCACTGTCACCAGGAGACTGTGAGTTACGACGTCGTGAAAGTAACAAAGGTTTAGTGGGTGAGGCTTCCTCCTCTGATGTGAACCTGGGGGCAGGAGATGGGGGACATGCTCGGGCCCACGGTCTCCTCCCAGAAGCACCATGCCTCACCTGCTGCTCCTGGTTCTCAGGTCGTTCCTGCCCTATGAGCCGTTCCTTGTCTCCTGGGTCAGATTCACAGGCATCAGCGATGATGGAGCCAGAAGATGGCATAGGCCACACTGCAGACACAGGGGTGGTTCTGCTGGGTCCTGTTAACAGTGCGGTTGTTTTTACTTGCAGATGAGCTTAGAAAATGATGAAAAGAGAGCTCGTACAAGATCCAAGGCCCTCCGAGGTGAGTGCTGCCCTCCTGTCCCAGCTGACTCTGGCCAAGAGTCCCGGGTCCTGAAGCTATAAATGCCACTCCCAGCAGCTGTCCTCAGGAGAATAGAGTCCTGGAGCAGTGCCTCGGCTCTGGGATGGGCCTCCCCTGCTCTGGGCACCTGGGGCTCCAGGTACCTGGTGGTTTCAGGCCTCCTCAGCCTCGGGCTGCCTGAGAGGGTTACCAGGGAGGCTTTTGGCCCAGAGGCACCTGCTGGGGTGGAAATGAGGAGCAGACCCAGCTCTCCAGAGGGGAAGCAAAGCTGCGCTAGACCTGCTCTGTTTGGAAAGGAAAGGCCGCCAGCCTTGCATCACCAGTCTCTCTGTTCCTGGGATATTAGTCTTGGTGCTGGAACGGGTGGGGATGTCATTGGTGGAACTGGCAGTGGGGTGGGGAGAGGGGCTGAGGCCCTTCTTGCTCTTCAGGGATCGAGCCCTGACCCCTTGGCCAGCCTCACCTCCCCAACACCACAGGGTACATGCTGCTCCTGTGTATGGGTGGCTCTCAAGGAGGGGCCAGGCGCCCTTGTGTCTGCTTCTTATGTCTGCCGATCAGACTCCTGACGTTTTTGCCCCAGTGGCCCATCCCTGAGGGACCAGTTGCTTGGGCCACCTTCTCTTCTTTGTCCTGCTTTATCTGCTTGGGGGTTTCTGACCAGAAACTCACTTCTTCATGCAATTAGAGAAAGAGATCCTGTCCTGCCCAGACGGCCCACAGAGTCTGTCTTGTGTGGCGCCTCTGTCTGAGTCTGTAAATCCAGGAGCTCCCAGGGAGGGTCTGGCAGGAGCACCGGCTTCAGGGACCGTGGATTCACTAGACCCCAGGGGACATTCCAGGAGGCCAGGGAACGTGTGGTTTCGGTATCAGGGGAATTGCCTCCACGCTTCACCCCACTTGTGCTGTAGGACAATGTGCCTTTTCCATTCTACCTGCACACAAGTTCCCTGTTTCTCTTTCTCTCACTCAGCTCCCCTGGAGCCCACAGGAGCTGACCTCAGGTAAGATGTGCTGCTCGCCGGTGACCCCCTTTGTCCTGAATGGCCTGCTGGGCACTTGGAATTGACCGGCTGCCCCTCAGCCCCCTGCTTTCTGTGACGAGGAGCCTTCCCTCCTGGCCTGAGTCCAGTGTCCTCACTCTGCCCCGTCCTCTTGCCCCGCGTGCTGGTGCCACCATGCAGCCAGCCTTGCGCAGGCGCACAGCGGTGCTCACACTGGTCCCGGGACCTCCTGTCCCCGTGGTCCTCAGCCAGCGACAAGGTGCTGTCTTAGTGGCTCCTTGACCAGAGACAAGGGTCCAGCTGTCCCACGCCCGAGGCTTCCACTGGGCCGAGAGCAGCAGTGGCCTGTGTGTTGGCCGAGCCCTGTGACTTTCCAGATCCCAGGCCGGTCTCACAGGGCACATCCTGAGCAGGAGGGAGGACAGACGCTCAGGACTTTGCTGGTTGAAGCAGGAGGGGCCGGCCTTCTTCGCTGGAGGCAGACTGCCCTGTCTGCTGGCATCTGTCCTGCGCTTGGCCAAAGGCTTTGTGTGTGGGGTGTGGGAGGGGCTTGGGGAGGCCAGAGAGACCAACCAGCCCTGCCCCCTGCAGTGTCTGTGTGTCTAGCCGCCCAGCACCACCCACTTGACCTTTGGACCAGAGGTTCTGTGGATCTAGGCTCTTCCTTGGGTCTCCCCACCAGCCCTGGGCCGTTTTGCCCAAACAGAGCTCCAGCGAACAGTGTCCAGTAAGTGACCAATAATACCAGCCTCCCACACCCCCCTTTTCTGAAGAAAGGTCGTGCCGACACAACTGGGTCAGAGCACTAGAGAAAGCAGGGAGGGCCCCAGTGTACCTGGTCCAATTCTATAAACATCCCGGGAGCTGGTGCCAGACTTCCACTTGTGACTGAGGTTATCTGCCCAAGGCCACTTGGAGGGATGGAGGGCCTCCGAGTGCTCCTCCTGCCCCTGGGGCTGCTCTGCCCGTGCGGTGGGGTCAGGCGTGACACCCACACCCCGAAGGCAGGTCTGTGGGCTTCCAGACTGGTGGCTGGAGACAGACAGAGCTTTCTAGACACTGAAGGAGGGGCTGCTCTTCTGTGGGGCTGCTGCCCCTTCCTGGAGTAACTCTCTCCACGGAGCGGTGCGGGCCCAGGCATTGGCCACGTCCATATTCTCAGGGGTGAAGGCTCTCACTGGACAGTGAGCACAGCTGGGGCTGGCCCATCTTATTCTTCACCAGGCAGTAATCAAGTGGTTGGCCTTTGCCAGTCAGGAAAATGAGGACCCTAAACATGCCAGCATGTCTCTAGCCTCTGAGGCTGTATTGTGGAGGCGGGAGGGCAGAGGGCCTGGGACGGGTGCTCAGAACCCCACGTGTGGCAGGCGCTGCAGTGGCTGCACCGTGCTGTCTGAGCTCAGGGACTCTCGACTCTCATGGACGTATTGGCTGGGGGTGGTGTGGCCCCACGTGTGAAGTGGGGAAACTGAGGCTCAGAGTATGACAGTTCATGCAGTCAGAAGAGTTGAATCACACACCCTCCTACATGAAGACTGGTTGTGGTCGCATGGCTGGAGGATGGGGTGGGTGGGGACAGAAGCCAAGCCAGGCCCCTGGGAGCTGCCTGGAGGGTTGGGACCTGTGGGTGAGCCCCTGGAGGGACCCTGCGTGGTGCTCAGAGGAGCACAGGCTGGACAGCAGGTCTCCTGGAGGATGCACTGCTCCCCTGGGGCCATGTGACGTTTGTCTGAGGACCTCCTGGGGACAGCAAGGGGGAGGAGGCTGTGCACAGGACTTGAGCTTCAGTAACAGCAGTTACTTTTGGCAACAGATACAGTAAGGGAGGAAGTTGGAAAGGCAAACCCCAAGGGCTAGGTTTCTCTTGAAACTTTGAAGCCAAAGTGACCCCAAAACAGATTTGTTTTGAAATCTGTGTACACAACCAGTGTAAGGGATCGTGTGACCATCCAGGTTTTACGCACCTTTGTTGATCTCGTGGTCTCACCCTGTTTACTTGGTAAGGGTGAGACCAGTATGCAGTCTGATGGGGAAACTGGGGAGAAATGTTCTAGTGACAATGTTCTCAGCCATCCTTCCCGTTTTGAAGAATCGACGCTCAGAGGAAAATGGCTCCTCTGTGCTAAGGAGCCATACGTGGTCCACCTGGAACGTGCCTCTCAGACCTGAGCAATGCACTGAGGGTGGGTGTTCAGCCCGTGGGCAGGGACAGGTGCCGCAAGCCGGACTCCTCCTCTGGGCACACCAGGTCCTGTGGTGGGACAAGCAGATGAGCCCCCATTCTGGCAGAGCCTTTGTGGTGGGGCCTTCGTGGCGGGTGCTGGCCCAGGGAGAATGACCCGTGGAGCAGACTCGCCCCTGGGACGGCAGAGGAATCACCTGATGGGAGGACGGGTCACGGGGAAGCTGTCCCCATGGGACTCACTCTGTGGACGAGGGACTTGAACCTGTGGATCCAGAGCCTGTGGGGCTCCCTCCCCCCCAACAGTGGCCCCTTCCTCCGCTCAAGCAGAGACCCCGGGAGCAGCTTGCTCTTGCATCGTGGTTGCTAGGACACAAGCCAGGACAGATCAGGACTCTCCGCTGCCCCCTCAGTAGCCCGTCAGCTCTTGCTCTGACTTGAGGCGAGTCCCTGAGAGAAGACGAGAGGTCTGTTGGCCTTTCCCTTTGTGCCAGTGGAGAACTAGCAGACCCCGTCCCTTGTCTCCATGGGCTCATCTGCTGTTCCACAGATGCGGGAGGCGGGATAGGAGGGAAGGAAGTGGGTGGGCCCCTCTCGGAGCGCTCTTGGGGTGTCTCCCTCCTCCATGAGAGACGCCTGTTTGTCCTGCCTATGCCCTGGTTCCCAGCCCACCTGTCCTCACCTGAGGGCCTTCTCCTTGAGCCACCAGCCAGCTCCCACTAAGGAGACAGACAGGAGTAGGGAGCCCTCTACCTGCCTCCAGGGGGCCGGAGAGAATCCAGTCCCTTAAAGGGCTCCTGCTGGGATGGGCGCCTCTGCCTTGGCCTGAGACCTACCATTTATGCTCAGAGCCCCCTGGGCCGGTGCCTGACCCCACTCAGTGCTAACTGAGGTCAGGCCCTCCGGGAGCGCCTCTGCCACACTTGGAGCCAGATTGGGAAGTCGGGGGAGGGCCCAGCAGGGTCCCCCATGCTGGGGGGCTAGGCCTCAGAGGCCTGGACCAGAGCTGGTGCTTCACCCCGCCCTCTGGCCCCAAACACATGGAGGGCACCCTAAAAGCACGGTGCCCCCAGTGTGACCTGCTGGCACTGCACCCTGGGGCCCTGACTGGCCTCACGTCACTTTCCATGGGTGCTGTCTTGGCTGCCTCATAGGGAGGGGTTTCTTCCACTTCCTCTCCCAGAGTGCCCCTTGGCGGCTCAGCACACGTGGGCACACGCCTGGCCTGCTGCCCTGGGAGGAGCTGGCCCTCGGGGCTGGAAGCCAGGCGCCTCTGAACTGGGGGGCGGAGGTGTGGCTTTGAGCAGGTGATGTGTTTGGGGGTAGTGCCAGTACCACAGCAGCTGGCACCTAATTGCCTGATTAACTCTGACTAATCGACTAATTGGGACCTCAGCTTCAAATCCCCAATAACAAGGAGCTTTTGTGGAGTCTTAACGCTAGTACTTGAGAAAGTGGCAGCAAGTGTGGGGCATGGATTTCAGAATGAGAGGCCGTGGGCGGCAGAAGTCCTCTGGGTCTGGAAAGGAAACGCACAGGAAAGTCCACACGCTCCCCTCCCCCCTCCCCCCTCCCCTTTCCTCTTCCTCTCCACCCTGTCTCCTTTCATCTCTCCTTTTAAATGCCAGGAGATGAGCCTCAGTGGCGCCATCATGGGGGGCTGCAGGGTGCGTCCCCTGCAGCCCCCCTGGCTCCCCCAAAGGCTGCCGCTGAGCTGGGGGACAGGGTTCTGCTAGCACAGACTGTTCTGTTTCTCGCTGGTCCATCAGCCAGGGTGGCCTGCCAGCCGGTGGGACCCCACGGTCCTCTGTAGTCACGTGGGTGATCAATCAGTGTGTCTGGACAGAGGCTACAGTGGTGAACTCTTCTGGGCCCCAGGAGCCCACAGGTGTCAGTGTCCACACCTTTCCTTCCTTGGCTCCGGGAGAGCCTGATCGGAGGTGGGGGCTCAGACCTGGTGATGACAAGCTTGTCCGTCCTTGGATGGAGGGCACCTTGGAGCGACCCCTCCCAGGAGAAGCTGGGGCTCCCCCTCCTCCCACCATGGCCTCTCCATCTTGCCAGCATTCATCTGCTGCTCCACAACACAGGTGATGTCAGCTCCTTGCTGTCCTGGTTCCTTGCACATGCCCCCAAGCCCACAGGACACTGGCCTTGAATGCCTCACAGTCCTGGGGAGCTGACTCGCAGGGAAGTGGGTGGGGTGGGCTGAGCCCTGATGAGCGGTTCCCAGAGTCTGGTTGGTGGGGAGACAGAAGTTGTAGAAGGAGCGGGACTCCTGGGCTCTCGCTTCTGTCCCCGGGATGGGAGCTGCTGCTAGAGGCCAGGCATCATCCCCCAAGCCCCTCTGCCCCTGAGGTCTCATGGCAGCTCCTGGGTCATCCGCCCTCTTGGCTTCACCTCCCTCAGCAGCAGGCTGCAGGTTCTGGAGTGGGGTCTTTGCCACCACACCATGCCTACCTCCAGCGGGCGCCTGTGGCTTAGGTCAAGGCTGCATGTTTGCAGAGTTGTTCCTGTCTGTGGGCGCCGCCTAGTGAGCCAGCACAGGGCAGTCTTGGCCGGGCCCCGCAGCCTCGTGAAGGCCACGGAGAATCCCATGTTTGTGCTTTGCCCGTGGGCCAGACTCAGGTGCTGGTTCTGGGAGCACCTCGAGGGCCCTGCTCCCCAGCCCCCTGAAAAATCTGGTGGTGGCTTGCCTGCAGTGGGGAGACTCATCGTGGAAAAAGGAATCCTGCCTTGATCTCGTACACACAGAGCTTTAATTAAACACACTCATGAGACTGTAATGAGCCATTCATTTATTTAAATAGGGTGAGTTATTTCATTAATTTTTTGCAAACTGCAAGCAGCTGTCCTAAGATGAACTGTTTGGAGACAATCTTCTACTCCCCGGGGGGACAGTCTGGGGTGAGATTCTGACCCTGTCCCCATTCCACACGGGGCCACCCCCGGGTGACTGCTCCCGCTTGTCTCCTCCCAGCTGTCCCACCCCTGGATGCACGGGCTCGGGGCATATCCGTGGCAAGTACTCCAGGCACCGAAGGTGAGGAGCTGGCGGGCCCTCAATGGGTTCCTGGGAAAGAGGTTGGGCTGAGGGGGTGGAGCTCCTCTCCTGCTCTGCGACCCTCTGTGGGCAGAACTATCCCCCTCTGCTCTGGGCAGATGAGCCCTGGTGGCCCCCCGTGCAACCCTGAGCCTTTCTGGGTGTCTCCCCAGTGGGGCTGCTCTGAGGCTGAAGGAGGCCTTGTGGGTGAACCCAGAACAGAGCCAGCACACGGTGGGGTGACTGTTTTCACTGCTGTCCTCCTGGGGGTCTCAGGGTCCCACTGGACCTCAGGGGCCTCTGACTGTGGTGCCCGGTTCAGGGGGAGGGGGAGGGTGGGAAGGGTCTGGAGGTGGAAAAGAAAGCCCTGGGTGCTCCTGGGGGTGGTGGGCATGGGGCAGAGTAGCCTGGGCCAGCCCCCATCCCCAGCCAACCCAGAGCGGGTGACTCTTGCATGGACAGGGCCCCCTGAGGTTAGGCCTCCCCAGACAAGCAGGAAGTGAAATTTAAAACACAATCTGGTGCTTTTTAATGTGGACACTTACTGTAAAATTTTGAACACATCGATCTGCCAGTCTTGCTTTTGGGTTTTGGTGGAGGGTGGTGATGAGAGGCAAAGAGAAATTTTCAGGATAGGGGAAGAGCTGCAGAGGGTGAAGGGTCGGGGGACTGGGAGATGCTGATGAGGGGGGGCCCGGCCTCCTCCCTACCAGTCTGCAGAGCTGCCCTCTGGCCAAGAAGAGGAAGCTAGAGGGCCCCGAGGCCGAGCACCTGGGGTCCAAGCGGAAGGCACCCCCGCTGAAGCTGGCTCTGGACGAGGGCTACGGCGTGGACAGTGACGGCAGCGAGGATGCTGAGGTGAAGGACGCCTCTGTTTCTGATGAATCGGAAGGAACTGTGGAGGAGGACGAGGCCGAGGCGTCGGGACAGGAGGAGATTCATCGCCCCGAGCCAGCTGAAGGTGCTTTGTTGCTCTGTCTCCCCTGAATAAAGGCGCTTAGTGTGGCCCCGGAGAATCGCAGCCTGTGGGCGGGCAGGGCTCCCGCGAGCCAGGAAGCCCTGCTGAGAACAAGTGCCTCTTGTCCAACATTTGGGACTTCCTGGGGAGGGGCCGGCTCTGGGGGCTCAGGGTCTGTGTGTGAACACTGTGCTTTTGGATGTGTGTCTGTCTGCATGTGTGACAGACAGACGGACAGATGGATGTGGCTGTGGGTCTGTATGGGGTGGTCTTGGACAGACCCGCCCCACTTGGCCCCAAAAGAGCCACCTGGTTGGGGGGCAGGGGTCTGCTTGGCATTAAGGGAGATGGTGGGGGTGTCCAGGGAAGCTAGGCCGGGCAGTGAGAACTGGGGGGGTCTCCCTCCTGTGACCTTCTTCCCTGCAGGGCCCCCAGTTCTTGGCCATCACTAGTGTGAAGGTAGGGCATGTCTGTGTCCTGAGACCCTGCCAACTGTGGGGTCCTGGGGGTGTGGCAGAGGCTGGAGGCCCAAACCCTCCCCTCCAATACATTCATGTTTCTGGTGTTCTCCCCTTATGGGATCTGGGGTGGATTCTGACTTCACTTTAGAGCCACTGTAGGGAGACTTCTTGCAACCCGCCTCCCTGTTGGGGACCTGGCTGTGCCTGAGAGGGTGCCGGGTCAGGGACTTGGCCTCCTGGCTTCCTTACACAGGAGGGAGCTCTGTGCTCTGGCTCAGCCCTCCTGAAGGGGGAGCAGGCGGGCTGGCTCTCACATCCTGGGGTCCTTATCCACCACCCAGGGGGCCCGGGTGTGGTGAGCACCCACTGCATCTCAGCCACAGTGATGAAATGATTTAACCTTTAAAAACAGCTTTTGCTGCTTCTCAGTTATGAAACAGTGTTAAAAAGTCTTATGCATTCTTTAGGCTCCATTTTATGAAATGCAGATTTGCCTGATTTAAAAAAGTACACAAAACAGGGAGGACTGTTAATCAAAAATATCAGAGTAAATCTTAGTTTCAAAAGTACAGCAGTGATTTCTCCAGGCAGACAAAAACGGTTATGTTGATCCTATTTCTGGGGTCTGGTGTCCTCTGGCTGTGGTGGAGTGCGGTGAAGGAACCAGAGCCAGTGGCCTGGAGACACACTCCCCCCAACCCTGTTCCCATGTGCCTCCCATATGGTTTCTGATTTTGTGTAGGAAGGAGCCCAATAAAGGCGCATTTTGGATCCAATCCCATCAGCAGCCCCTCTGGCTCCTCCAAGGGCAGCTACAGCAGCTATCAGGAAATCATTGCAACTTCTCTCCTAAATTTGGGCCAAATCGCTGAAGAGACCCTGGTTGGCGGAGACTCAGGCCAGGTGGCCACGCCAGGCCTAGTTCAGGAGGCTGAGGAAGAAGCCACCAGTGACGAGGGGGAGAAGGAGGACTTTATCCAGCCGGAGGACGTGGAGGAGGTGATTGAAGTCACCAGTGAGCGCTCTCAGGAGCCGTGTCCCCAGTCTCTGGAGAGTGTGGCCAGTGAGGCATCCAGCAAGCAGAAAGTGACCCTGGGCAACGAGGAGGAAGAGGAAGAGGAGGAGGAAGATGACGAGGAGGAAGAAGATGACGAGGAGGACGAGGAAGACGAGGAGGAGGCCCCGCCTGATGTAATCTGCCAGGAGGATGCCCCCCACGTTCCTGCCCCAAAGAGCCCTCAGCCCCGGGGCCCGGTGCCTCCCAGCCCCAAGCCCGGGTACTCCGTCCTGGTGGAGGTGCGGTCCGATGACGGCAAAGACGAGGACTCGCGCTCCCAGAAGTCTGCGGTCACAGACGAGTCGGAGATGTACGACATGATGACCCGTGGCAACCTGGGCCTCCTGGAGCAGGCCATTGCCCTGAAGGCCGAGCAGGTGCGGGCTGTCTGTGAGCCGGGATGCCCACCTGCCGAGCAAGGCTCACTGGGCCCGGGCGAGCCAGGGAAGGCAGCGAGGCCCCTGGACGCTGCCCGGAAGAACTACTGCAGCAAAGGTAGGCTGGACTCCCAGGGATGGGCAGCCCGGGACCCATGGACATGCCCTGAGTATTTCACTGGCTGGGGGTCATGGGAGGTGGGGAATGTTGGCCAGACAGACACAGACTGTGGTCGTGTGGCAGAAGGCAGGGCTGGGAGCACTAGAAGGGCATTGGCACTGGTCCTCAGGGACCCTGATGCCTGAGGCACAGGTGCCCAAGAGCCCTAGACAGAGGCCAGTGGCAGCGAGCTCAGGAGGGCGATGCCTGGGAGAGGTTTGTGAGCCCCTGCATGCCTGGGAGTCAAAGGACAACCTCCTCCCATTTGAATCAGGCAGAGCCCCCAGTGGCCCTGCCCTCCTTGGGGTGGGCATTCTGAGCATGGTCCGTGATTTCTGCATTCTATAAAAGGGGATGACGGCTCCATTGGAAGTTTCCCTGGGACACTGGCTATGCCCTGGGGACCATGTGTGTACTGAGAGGTCTTCCCTTCTGCCCCCAGACTTACAGTGACCTCTCTGGCCTGCAGAGGCTTAATGAAGTCAGTAGCTGAGATTTGGGGTTAGGTTTCTGCCTAAGCCTTTATTAGCTGCTTTGATTCCCTTGTGGCTCAGACCTTAAAGAGTCTGCCTGCAATGTGGGAGACCTGGGTTCTATCACCAGGTTGGGAAGATCCCCTGGAGAAGGAAATGGCAACCCACTCCAGTATTCTTGCCTAAAATTCTATGGACGGAGGAGCCTTCCGGGCTCCAGTCCATGAGGTCTCAAAAAAGTTGGACGTGACTGAGCAGTTTCATTTTCGGTGAGTTACTTAGCTTCTTTCTCCCCCTTTCATGTCAACATGAAGGACGAGTCCTGGCAGGGATGTTGCTGCACATCTTTACCTCTCTGTGGAGGCCTGGGGCTGCGCAGGACACTAGCAGGACAGGGCAGAGGGCACCAGCCGCCATCTAGGTGGTCTTCCTCAAAGGGCTGCAGTCCCACTGTTTGTGGGTTTTCATCATCTGTGGGCTTTTCCACTTAGACACCCTGGACAGTCCCTCTAGTATCCCCTTGCTGTCCAGCCCTGGTGCCTTTCGGGCTCTTGGGTGGTCTGGTCATTCTCCTCTCTGGACAGCCAGAGTGAAGGCTTGTGAGCTGCACTACCCGCTCCCAGCTCACCACTATCCCCCAGCTTCCTGGCTGCCCTCTGACCCAGAGGCTCTGTGTGTTTAGATCCCTCAAGAACTGAAAAGCGTGAGATCAAGTGTCCGACACCAGGCTGTGATGGCACCGGCCATGTCACTGGGCTGTACCCACACCACCGCAGCCTGTCTGGCTGCCCCCACAAGGACAGGATCCCCCCGGAGAGTGAGTAGCTCTGCATGGCTCGGGCTGCCTCTGGTGTTTGGATGGTGCCCACGTTGGGGAATGGCCACACAGAGCCCTGTCTCTCTGATCCGGAATGTCCTGAAGCCCATACTTGAGCCCCACAAGCATGGGGACGTGGAGCGTCCAGTGATTCACCTGGAGATGGCAGCCTGGATCAGGTCCCCAGGAAGCCAGGCCATGGACACAGGAGGGGAGACTGGGCTCCGGAGCTGGGGAGGGGCCACTTTCTGTGTGCTGAGGGCTCAGAAGGAGAAAGGCTGTCCTTGCTTCCGTGTGAGGGGCAGCAAGTTGAGAGGAGGGACGTTGTAAGGCTGAACTGGTTTCTGCCCTCGGGAGCCAGGGCCACCGTGGGAGGGGTTCTCTGTCTGAGCCGGGCCTGGGGCCCCTGCATGCTCCATGGAGGGAGGTGCTCACTGGCTCCCCCCCGGTTGTCTTGCAGTCCTGGCCATGCACGAGAACGTGCTCAAGTGCCCCACTCCTGGCTGCACAGGCCAGGGCCACGTGAACAGCAACCGTAACACGCACAGAAGGTATGGGGCTGGGCTGGGCACGGTGAGGGTGGTGGCGGGGGCATGCCGTGGGTGCCACAACCTGGCACATGTCTCAGGCTTGACATGTGACAGGTCCCCCTGTGTGCCGCTCTTTGGGGTGAGTGCAAGGTCAGGACAGACCTTTGGTGGGCGCAGAGCAGCACCTGGAGGGGTGGTCACTGGTGCCACTCTGAGGGGATGCTGAAAGACCAGAGTGCGCCTGGAGGAATGGGCGCCTGCAGCCTGGGGGAGAGCCGGGTGGGGACCCTGACCTGCGGAGATTCGGGAAGCTTCTGGACACTAGCTCTTGCTTAGGGCACAACCTCAGCACCTGGGCCTAAGCCTGGTTGCTCTGTGGGGTGCTGAGACCCTGGTACTTCCATTGTCTGCTGTCTTCTGGCCACTGCTTCCCCGAGCCCTGGGCAGCTGTGGCCGTGGCAGCAGGTACCTTTGCTCCAGTGAGTGACGCTCAGCTGAAGGGACGGCCAGAGTCTTTGAGGTCCAATCACTGAGAAGAGGCTGAACTCCCCAGCATTGATGTGATGATGTCACCTCCCCTGGTCGATCAGCTTCTTAGTTCTAACAGTCAAAGCTGTATCCATGGTGTCTTGGATTAGGTGCTTCCCCGGGAAGGACCTGTGCCCTTCTGCTGTGACCCTGGTGGTCCGTGTCCTCCAGGGTCAGCACCCAGTTTATGGCCTGTGGGTGACAGAATTTGAGCAGCTCTGGTTGGTGGTGAGGGGAGAGGAGCAGGGTGAGAGGCAGGCCCATCCCCCAGACCCATCCAGAGGAGATACCTTCGTCCAGAGCCTCTAAGAACTTTAGGATGCATTTTGTCTCCATGTGTCATTGGCTTAGAATTTCCAAAAACAGAAACTGAGTGAGCAGCAGGTGCTTTGAGGGCTGAGGACAGAGCTGGGGAAAAGCCCCCTCTATAGGAATGATAGCCTTCCCTGGGCGCCTGCTGGTGTCTGGCTCCTGGCTTAGATGGGTGGGGCCTGGAGAAGGGCTCAGCTGTCCTCCTGTCCTGTCTCTAGTTTGTCTGGATGTCCCATTGCTGCTGCCGAAAAATTAGCCAAATCTCATGAGAAGCAACAGCCACAGCCAGGAGAGCCTTCCAAGAATAGCTCCAATTCGGATCGGATCCTCAGGTGAGTGACATGAGCCACAGACCCAGAGGGGTGTTCTTGGACCCAGGTTCGTCTGCCCAACATATAGTGAGGCCAGACAAACCAAAACTGGGTTGGAGTTTGGAGCAGAGAAAAGTTTATTACAAAAGCTATGGAAGGAGAATGGGTGACTGGTGCTCAGAACATTCAACCTCCCATTGGCTTTCTGGTGAGGTCTTTACAATGTGAGGGAAGAGGGCTTGAGATGCATAATAGCTTGTGGACTTTCTGATCGGCTGATGGTGAGGTGGTAGGGGATGTTTCAGGAATCTCAACCTTACTATTCTAACATTCTGGGGTCCACAGGCTTGTGGTTGGCATGTCATCACCACTGGGCAAGTGTCTTAGTTTCTGCAGAGCGACTCAGATACGTGTCAGATTGTTCCCTCTGTCTCTTCCAGAGGAACTAGGAGCCCTGTTGTGACTCTGTTGTCCTCTTAGTTGACTGACTTGCTCTTTGGAACCTGGAAGCTTGAGGGGGCTTACAGCCTTTTTCCTACAAACTAGAAATGGGGACACAGAGGGGCTTTTGTCCCAGGAAAGCCCTGTAAGGTTCTGCTTGATTTCAGGGGCTGCCTCCCGAAATGCCCAGGGAGCATCTAGTCTTTCTGCAGCTGCATGTGTGTGCATGAGTGTGTGCATGAATGTGTGCACACATGTATGTATAGTATGTGCAAGCGCACATATGTGTGCACAATGTACATGTGTGTGCATGTGTGTATGCATGTGTGTGCGGGTGTGCATGTGTATACTGGTGTTTCCTAGCAGTTTTGGGGGCACCAACACCCACAAGGCTGCCCTTGCCTTGCTCTCTCTGAGGGTATTGATATTACTGCTGGATGATTCAGGATTTTTTTGTGGAGATTCTGGTTCTGTTTGGAGAGTGGGCTGTACCAGCTGAGGGCTAAAACCCTGGACCGGGAAGAGGCGCCCTCCAGAGTGCCACCCCCATGACCCCTGAGGTGCTGTGTGTTTAGGTGCGTGTGTGTGAGTGTCTGTGAGTGTGTGTGTGCATGTGTGCCTGCAGATGTGGCTTATTGATGAGAGGGCTTCTGAAAGGCCATTCAGAATGAATCTGCTTTGTGCAACCTCACCCACAAGCCCCCATTGGCGTCACAAGGAAGGCCAGAGGCTGGGGAACTTTCCTAAGGCCACATGTCCCCCCTCCGGCCAGCCTATCTTCAGAATCTCCTCCCAGGGGGACCAGTTCCCTGGCGCCCACCATGCTGGGGGATTCTCCCCCACCGTGTCCTTGCTCGGTGGACTCCTTGCTCCCTTGTCTCGAAGGAGCTAGAACTCACAGGTCCTCTCCTCCAGACTCCTGTTCTACATCTGTCATAGACAGAAGAGTTTGGGAGACCAGGGCCACCACACCCTGTGCAAGCTCAGTGCTCAGAAGTTGTGAGCATGGGGCACAGCATAGACCTTGGTCTGGAGACCCACCTGTCCCTTCCTTGGCAGGTGCCTGGTGGACACTCAGACCAAGGATTGAGCTGCACACCTTGGCTTCGGAGGGTGGTGTGTGAGGAGTCTCTGTGCGGGGCCCACCCTCCCGCACTGGGGAGCCCTTGCAGCCCAGTCCTTGGGTGCCCTGTACTCCATTTGGCTTCTTTCATCCAGGAAACTGCTTCTTTTCTCCATCTTATCCCTGTTCCTTCTAGCTTCTTGTCAATTTTCCTAACTTGATCCAAGTCACTGACAAAATGTCAAACCACCAGGCAGGTAAGGCTTGGGAAGGCCAGTCTTGGGGCCAAACAGGTGCTGAACGTGGAGGTGGTGTCCCAGGAAGGTGACTGCAGTTTTTTCCCCTGTAAAAATGAGACAACAGTCTTATCGACTTGAATTTCTCATGAGGCTTGGACGAGGCAGTGACAGTTTGTTTCCTGCGCCCTTGCTGAGGAGCCCTGATGGTAGCAGCTGCGGCCAAGATGCTGGAGCCTTCCACTCAGGCTCCATGCGTTCTGTGTAGCCACGTTTTGGGTATTGTACTCTGGGGTGTGCAGATAATCTTAAAAAAGTTTTGCTGGCATCACGGACACTGAGTCTGCTGCTGGACGAAGCCCGGGCTGAGGAAGCCACCCAAACATGGTGCAGACATTAAGTTTAGGCCTCATCTTTCCTTGAGGGTACCTGAGAGCTCGCCAGCAACTTCTCAGATGCACTGACCAGTTCAGAGTGGAGGAGGAGAGCCTACTCGTGCTCTGGTGGCATCGCTTTCCCAAGGCCCCTCAGAGCTGGCCTTATCGTGGTTCTGGGGTCTTCTTAGCAACAGGCTCCTCTTTTTGGGTCATGCTCAAGTTCTTCCAGTGCTTGGCACCTCGGGGCCTCTCCATTGGTCCTTCTTAATTCCACACTTTCCAGAGTGAAGTCACTGCTTGGCTCTAGAGGCCTCCTTTGCTTTTCTTCTCTCTGAGTCCCTCACTGGAATGGTACAGATCCTGTGGCCTTTATCTTCTGCTGGTCTTGCTCCTGCCCCGGTCCCTGGGCTGTGGAGGCTGGTGTCTCCACACCATCTCTTGTACATTTAAAAATCGGAGCTCTTTCAGAGCTCCAGCAACATTGACTGAATGCTTGCAGCACTGCTTTCATGCCTCTCCTTAACCCACTGCAGATCCTCCAGGGTCGTCTTAAGCGACTTTAAGCAGAGGACAGTGGAGGGCTAGACCCCTCCCTTCAAAGAGTAGAGTCACTCTGCCCTGAGGCTGATTCTCAGAAACACCCCCATGTCCCCTCCAGGTGCCCCCACTCCCCCCTGTCTGAGGAATTGTATTAACAAGTTATTCTACCACCAGAACTCCATCTTGACTGCCCACTACCCTAAAGATGTTTCTCTGGGGCTCCCGGCCAAGGGCTCAGAAACCAGCTCTCCTTTTCCCCTCCTCTGGCTGATGCTGTCTGCAAGGGGAGACGTGCTGTTTCTTCAAGTCTCCTAGTGCTTCTTCCCCGTGGCAGTTCTTCCTGAACATCCCACGGGCACCCTGTAGTAGTGGGCAGGGGAGGGCCTGCCTGGGTCTCAGTCCACACTGGCCTCTGAGGGATGGTTGGGCTAGGCCATGGTAGATGGTGCTGGGTTGAACAGTACAGGGTCCTTGTGCCCTATCTTCATGCTCCTCATCTCCATCCTGCACCTCAGGCCCATGTGCTTCGTGAAGCAGCTTGAGGTCCCTCCATACGGAAGCTACCGGCCCAGCGTGGCCCCCACCACACCCAGGGCCAACCTGGCCAAGGAGCTGGAGAAGTTCTCCAAGGTCACCTTTGACTACGCAAGTTTTGATGCTCAGGTTTTTGGTAAGCGCATGCTTGCCCCAAAGATTCAGACCAGCGAAACCTCACCGAAAGCCTTTAAATGTAAGTTGGGGAAACTACTCTCAGGTGGTGTAGGGTCTGAGGGGCAGAGGAGGAGGAACCCTTCCCCAGGAGCATATAGGAACTCTCCATCTGGGGCCCCAGCTGTTCCAGTCTACGTGGTGACTTTATCAGAGTCTGTGTCTCACCCATGTTGCAGCCTTCACCTTCATCATCAAACTGGATGTGTCTCCTCACTACACATTGAAATAAAACCCGTGTGTTATGGTGTGCATGTCCAAAGAGTTAAGCTCAACATCGCTGACATGGTTTACCCTATGAGTGTGCCCTCCCCGGCTGTCCTTTTCCAGGCAGTTTATTCCAGCTCAGGGGTGGAGGTCTCGGGAGAACCACTGTACTGAGCCTGGATACCCCACAGATACTTAGACAGGGACCATCTTGCTGGATACAGTATGCCACTTGTAATATTAGCAACAAAATTTCTGTGTGCTTGCACTAACAAAATTCATTCCTACAAACCTTTGAGAACACGCTTTCCTGTCTTTCTAAAAAATTATTTATATGCTTAGGATGCACTGGTTCTTTGTTGCTGGGCAGGCTTTCTCTAGTTGTGGCAAGCAGGGGCTATTCTTTGTTGCAGTGAACAGGCTTCTCACTGTGGTGGCTTTTGTTGCGGAGCACAGGCTCTAGGTGTGCGGGTTTCAGTAGTTGCAGCTTGAGAGCTCAAGAGCATGTGCTCAGTAGTTGTGGCACACCAGCTTAGTTGCTCCTCAGCATATGGAATCTTCCCAGACTAGGGATCAAACCTGTGTCTTCTGCATTGGCAGGTAGACTCTCAACCACTGGACCACCAGGGAAGTCCCCTGTCTTTTTTTGGTCACTTATTACACTAATTTGTGAGTTGCAAGCCAATTAGCTTGCATAATACCTACAAAATGGAAAACTGCCCCAGTGTACATAAGATTGGAACTGGCAGCTCATGATGGATGTTCAGACGCCAAAATCAGCAATGATGAGTTTCCTACGAGTTCATACTAGAAACACTGATCAATACAATGGCCAGCTGGAGTGCAGGCATCTCTCCAACTTGTTAGGAGAGGGCTTCATGCAAGGCACCCACTTATGCTGGGGCACTGGAAATTTGCTGGTGATATTGTGATTACTCAGAAATCATACCTGAGAGTGATCTTATGGTTATAGCACAGTTATTAGAAAAGATGACATTTTATGCTTTCATGTTTCATGTTCTGTTGTTGTTCAGTAGCTAAGCCCCGTCCAACACTTTGCAATCCCATGGACTGCAGCATGCCAGGCTCCTCTGTCCTCCACTAACTCCCGAGTTTGCTCCGATTCCTGTCCATTGAGTTAGTGATCCTATCTAAATCTTATCCTCTGCTGCCCCCTTCTCCTTTTGCCTTCAGTCTTTCCCAGCATGAGGGTCTTTTCCAGTGAGTCAACTCTTCGCATCATTATATTTGAGCAACAGTGTTATTTACTAAAGCTGTGGCTATTGAGGAGGTGACACCAAAATCAGCCTTTTGAGATATTGTGACAAAATTTGCCTACTTGAGTGACACTGCAGACACTCTTCCTATTTACAGACTTTAGTCTCTCAATAAGCTTTTGCCAATAGATAACTTGTTCTGTTTGCAATATCAGGGATGCTAGCCTGTCTTTGCCCTTTCTGCCCAAGTTATGGTCAAGACAGAAGTGGCCTTCTCAATACCCAACAAGGATGGGGGCGGATTGGGGTATGCGAGCTCACGGCAGTGGGTGGATGACCCAGCCCTAGGCCCACCTTCACACAACTGTGCTCAAAGCCCCCAGCCACCCTAAAGCTCCCCTGTGTGTCTTTGTGGACACCTCCCATTCGTGTTGTATATCAGCCTGCTGTTGTTCCCTTTTTGCAGCCAAACCTTTCCCAAAGGCCTCTCCCCCCAGGCCCAGCCCCTGCACCTCATCCTCTTCTGCAGGCTTCGACTACGCCCACGACGCAGAGGCCGCACACATGGCTGCCACTGCCATCCTGAACCTCTCCACGCGCTGCTGGGAGATGCCTGAGAACCTCAGCACGAAGCCACAGGACCTGCCCAGCAAGGTGGGTGAGACTCCTGCTGGGAGCCCCTTCTGAGGCAGAGAAGGTGGGTGGGGTTTGCAGTCAGGACTATATGCAGCCTGCACAAAGCAGGCTCAGCAAACCCAGCGTCTATGAGGGGAGTACCACTCTTTCCTTTTCTCCCTCCTGACCACTGACCCTGCTGGCCAAAGACACTGGATGGTCCCCCCTCCCTGAGCACCACGCGCTGTGCCTAAGGGCGCCAAGCGGCTGTACACACCTGTTCCCGCATCTACCAGGATGCACGCTTCCACTGGCTTCCACGTGTTCCTGTGCCCACACTGATGGCCATGTGCTGGGGCTGGTTTTATGGGCTGGAGGCCTTGAGGGAGTGGGTAGAGTGAGTCCATGTCAGCTTCAGGATACTTTCTTCTCAGAGGCTCTTCTCTTCTTTTTGGCCCTGTTCCCTTTGGAGGGAAACACTGTCTGGGCTTCTGGTGAGCTGAGTAAGGGGTCATAATGTACATGTGGGAGGGGATGGTGTCTAACCTAGACGTTGCCTTTGCAATGCAGGCCGTGGAAATTGAGGTGGATGAGAACGGAACTCTGGACTTGAGCATGCACAAGCACCGCAGGCGGGAGAACACTTTCCCCAGCGGGAGCAGCAGCAGCAGCAGCCCTGGCGTGAAGTCACCTGATGCCTGCCAGCGCCAGAGCAGTACCAGCGCCCCCAGCAGCTCCCTGACCTCACCCCCGTCCAGCCACGCTTCCCGCCAGGATGAGTGGGACCGGCCTCTGGACTACACTAAGCCCAGCCGCCCACGAGAGGAGGAGCCTGAGGAGGTGGGTGCTGTCCAGGTGGGAGGTCCAGAGCTGTCGGATGGTGAGGGGAGGCGGGGATCGAGCAGGCACTGGCGGTCAGCTTGCCTTACCCAAGGGTCGGGAGAAACACGCAGGCATCTCCAGGTAGAGGCTCTATGGGTCCTACCCATTTCCACGCAGGGTTCTGCCTGCTTTGGGCAGCTAAGTCCACCTTCCTGGAGGTGTTTTCACCATTGGTTCAGTTTGTGGCCTTGTCCCCTCCAAGAGGGAGGTGGTCTTCTCACCTCTGGAGCATTTGTGGTCAGCAGCAGTGTGGCTCTCCAAGAGTGTGGAGAAGACAGGAGCCCACGGTGGGGGGCTCGGAGGATGATTCAGGAATGACCTCAAATTCCTCGGTTTCGTGGGCCTCCCACCAGGCTGCTGTCCAGATGAGGGACACCCTGAACTCTGGTGGCAGCCTCTCCTCACCATGCCCAGGACACTGCAGGCGCCTGGTTCCCTGGACAGAGGCAGGAGAAAACGCCTGGCCTCAAAAGCACCTCTGGCAGCCAGTGGTCTGAGTCCCAGAGCAGTTCTGCCTGCTAAGGAGCGGCAAGCCAGGCCTCTGTGTTGACCTTTCCATAGCCTGGAGGCTGCTGGAACATTCCCTTCCTGGTGACTCCAACCACTCAAGGTGGGGCTGATGGGGGGGTGGGGCTTCCAGCACAGCAGAACTCTGCTCTGAGGGTACAACTCCAGGCGGGCTCTGCACAGTGTGGACAGGCCTGAGGGTTCCCTCCCAGCCCTTCCCTGCCTGCCAGCTCCCACTTCCAGGAGGGTGAGGGGGTTAGATCCCTGAGTGTGTGCTAAGTCGTGTCTGATTCTTTGTGACCCCGTTGACTGTAGCCCTCCAGGCTCCTCTGTCCATGGGATTCTCCAGGCAAGAATACTGGTGTGGGTTGCCAGTGCCCTTCTCCAGGGGATCTTCCTGACCCAGGGATCGAACCTGAGTCTTTTGTGTCTCCTGCACTGGCAGTTCTTTACCACTAGGGACACTGAAGTAGAACCAGGAGGCCCCTGGAATGGCTGTGTCTGGGCAGGGCCAGCCTGGTGGAGAGCAGGGCTGTATGTGGGTGGAGCCAGCCCCTTTGCAGGCAGGGGGTAGGGGCAGATCCCTGCAGAGGAGGAGCAGTGGTGGTGAGGATTCTACTCTGAGAGCCCACCCTCTCTACAGTTTCATCTTCAGGGGTGGCCAGGTTCCTCCATCTACCGGCCTCACATGCACCCCTACTTTACAGAGGAGCCACCTGGTTTACATCTAGGTCATCTGGCTCAGTCATATGGCAGCAACTCAATGTCAAGGCTCAGAAGAGGGATACTTCTCTCAGCATGAGCCCCTGGGGTAGGGAGGCTGGCTGAGGGTCCGTGGGGGCTGGCAGGAGGGCTTCTCTCTGCTAATGGGGCCATGCCTGAGGCCCGGTGGGGCCCTTCTGTTCCTGTTGGGGTCACCAGGGCTATGTCCCCACATCTGCTGTCACCCTTGTTCAGTTCTGTGCCTGTGACCTTGTCTCCCCTTGACCTCTCCAGTGGTCCTTTCCCTTTCGTTGGCCCCCAGCTCAGGCTGGTCTCTCTGGCCACTTCCCCCTGCCACCCGCCCAGCCCTGCCCCACCTTCCCATGCCCTCTGAGCATCCTCACCCCTTCCCAGGACTATTGTGTCATCTGTGGGTGACCTGGGTCTCAGAGGTCCTGGGGAGCCTGGCCACGGAAGCCTGCTCCTGTGCTCCATGGCTGACCATCCACTCTCTGGCGGGAAGCCTCGGTTAACCCCCAGGCCCTTCTTTTCCTCCCCTGTGCCCTGGGCACAGGTGCCCCTGTCCTACTGGGTCACCCCCTGGATCAGGCCTTCCCAGTCCATCTACTGTGGCCTGGACTCCCTGTTCAGACTCTCTTTCTAGCTCTGCCCAAGGCTCCTTGATCATCTTGCCCCAGCCTTTAGCATCACCTCCCACCCTACTCTGGTAGCAGTGCCCCCTCATGTCCCTAAACAGCCCTAGCCCCTGCATCTATGGGCCTGTGGGATGTGCTTCTTGCTCTGGAGCTGCCTCTGCCCCTGTGATTCTGGGAGGCCCTTTTTTCCCCTGAAGGCTGGACTCACGTTGAGGGTCTTTGTCCACATAGCCGTGCCTTGTTCAGTAGTAACAGTAGCAACAGCATCGCATGGTACCAGGGGCCTTTCCTCATCTCAGCCCCAGACATCCTGGGAGGGCCTGCTACTATTTCCAGCTTAAACGTGTGGTGCCCAGGAGGTTGGACAACGTGCCTGGGACACACAGCAAGTGCTGAGACTTGAATCGTGATCCACCACAGGGGCTATTGGTCTGTTGCAGACTGACCTGTAGGGCACTGACCTTGCTGACTCTTATGGACGTCTTCCCTGCCCTGGATGGAGGGAATGTGCTTGTTCACCACTGCGTTCATAGTGCCCTGTTCTTGGGTGGCAACTGAACACTTCCGAACCCTGCATTTGAGGTCAAAGTGCTTATTAAAGTGCCTGTTGCTGTCAGATCATCGTGCTGGCCACAGGACCAGATGGCTCTAAGGTCGCTGTGATTATTTCTATCATGCTTTGTACATTGTACCACTCATCCTCATGGCATTTCAACAGACACGCTCAGTGGTAACAGCCCCAAAGGAGCTGCACTAGGTGTGCACTCTGGTGTGCAGAAGGTGACCCAGGGCAGGTGGCCGGAGGTGACACACAGGCCAGAGGCCACGGAGGGTGTCAGAGCAGCCGGCCTGGGTGGCATCCGTGTCTCCCCGTTTCTGGGTCAGCTCGGGAGCAGTGGCTGAGGTGAGGGAGCACCCTAGCCCCTCTGGGTGCTGCTTCCTGCATCTTGGGGGTATGTCTTACTCCTGCGTGCATAAGACAGGAGACTCCAGAAAACGCCTCTGTGGACCCTGTTCTGAAAGGCCCCTCTCCCTCAGCCCTGGGCTGGGCGCCCAGCCCCCGCCAGCTGGTTAAAACATCTCCCTGCTGGTCTTTTGCAGTCAGAGCCAGCAGCCCATTCTTTTGCTTCTTCTGAAGCAGATGACCAGGAAGTGTCGGAGGAGAATTTTGAGGAGCGGAAGTACCCCGGGGAGGTCACCCTGGCCAACTTTAAGCTGAAGTTTCTCTCCAAGGACATAAAGAAGGAGCTGCTCACGTAAGTCCCCGCCTTGAACGACAGGACCCCCCCAGGGGACCTCTATAGTCTGGAAAGGAGCACACCTTAGTGGGAGCCTATGATGACCGGGTCAGCCCCTGCACAGCCCTGTGCTGACCACCCTCCTGCCCTGGCCAACTTGGTGGGCAGAGGCTGAGCCACCTCTACTAGGACCTTCCTGGGCCAGACAGAAGGTCAGGTTCCCCTCACCCCTGTACCATGCTGGCCTCTAACCTGCTCCTTCAGGGTGATAAAGAGTGAGGATGAGCCTTCATCTGGCCCACAGAGCAGACAAGGGCTGAGGGGAGTGGATGCCTCCTGAGTCCCCACTGTGTGCCAGTCCTCGGCGTGCTCTGCCTTAGACTCGGTGCCCTCAGCCCTGGCAGCCAGAGCTAGTTTAACCAGATGCCACTGGAGAGGGGCCAGCTGCTGGCTAACTGCCGCTGAGCACCACCTCCCCTAGGGGATGGTGAGAGGCCTGACACCTGCCCCACAGGTGATCCAGTCCTCACCTCTGCTCAGCGTTTGTCCCTGGGATTCCTCTTCATGCCCCAAACACCGCCAGCTTCCCCCTGCCCTGTATCTGGCTCTCCCAGGATGGCTCTGGCTGGGGTCTTGTCCTTGGAGAAGGCCCCGCCACATCAGGAAGGCGCCCCCCACCGCCCTGTCCACAAGCGTGGACACGTGTGCATGCACAGTGCGAGGGCTTCAGAGCATCTCGACTTTAAGTTGAGCTTCACTTTGGTTCCCTTTTCCTTCTTGAGCTGAGTGGTATGGGAGAAACTTGCAGTCGGAGAGGCGGAGGAGAAGGGTCTGCTCCGAGACGGGCAGGGAGCAGGTGCCGCCGCCCTCCCTGATGGACTCAGCCCTGGGGGCGGGTCTGGCAGGGTGCCTCGCTCTCTGATCTGACACTCTGTTTCCTTTGTCCAGCTGCCCTACCCCTGGTTGTGACGGCAGTGGCCACATCACTGGGAACTATGCCTCCCACCGCAGGTTCGTCCCCCGCTTGGGTCCGCCTGGCCTGGGTGCTGTGTGGTGGGTCTTCTCCCTCTGCTGCTCTGCTCCCCCTCTTTGGCTCATCCCAATATCCCATCTCTTCTCTTTCAGCCTCTCTGGTTGCCCTCTTGCTGACAAGAGCCTCAGAAACCTCATGGCTGCCCATTCTGCTGACCTCAAGTATGTCTGCCCTCCTGGCCTCCCATCTCTGGGGTGGCTTCGTTGCTCTGCTCACTCCTTTCATGAGGCTCCAGCCTAAACCAGCCTTCTCGAGGGCTCCGGCACAAGGCCGGCCCCAGCCAGAGGCGCAGGGCCGTGGGGCAGAGAGGCAGGGCCATGGACGGGCTGATTCTGCTTGGCTGGGATTCTCGCCACTCTGCCTGTCTCTCTCTGCTCTGAGCACTGCTGTCTGCCTGTCCCCTCAGGCCCAGGGCTGCTACGGGGTCCTGTGCTCCCCTCGGCCCTGCCAGCCTCTCTGAGGGCTGAGGGTCGGGAGGGCCAACAGGACGTAGGACCTGCCTCTGGCTCCTGAGGACCCCTGATGGGCTGCTGTCTGGGCCTGCTTTCCCCTGCCGTGGAGATCTGGGAGAATTCCCAGACTGGCCATGGCTTGTGAGTCTAGTTGTGGCTCAGAGGGCTGCAGGCTGTGTAGCTCTTGCTAAGTGGACTGGATGCTGGTGATGGCCGAGAAACTCCGTGCTCGTCCCTCCTCCTGCACCCCTTCCAGCTGCTTCTGTCTTGGCCCCTGGTGCCCACCCCCACCCCACGCCTCACATCTATGCTCGCCCCTCCTTTTTGCTGTGCCTGCTCTCTGCTTCTGCTCCTCCTGCCCCTGACACCTGGGCAAGGCAGCCCAGTGGCTGACAGCCTTGTTCAAGCGAGGAGCACGCGCCCAGAGGTTTCCTGGCTCTCAGCGTCCTTCTGGGGCTGGAGTTGGGGATTGTGAAGGCCTTTGATTTCATGCCTTTAGTTGAGCTGTGACATCATGGCTGGTGTGGCCCTGAGCCACATAGTGCTGACCCCGTGCTCCCAGGCTGAACCGAGGTTGTGGAAGGAAGACCCCTTCTTGGCCCCTCAGGTAGCTCCCTCTCCTGGGGATTTCTCCCACTCTGGGCCTCTGTGTTGGGAGCCCTGCATCCAGGCCAGGTTTCACCAGCTTAGCCTGATCTGGGCCTCTGGTGCCTTTAAGATGAGGAACTACTACTGCTGGAAGCTTCCAGGGATCTGTGTTGACTTAGAACGGGCAGGAAGCTCCAGGTCTGTCTGAGCAGCGGATCCTGCCAGCCTCACTTCTGTGGTTCTGGGGAGCCTGTCTGGGCCTACTAGCCAGGAGAAGCATGTCGTTACCTGTTTTACCAGTGAGGTCTTCTAGTCCCACAGATGAGGCTGGGCAGAGTTCATGACCAGAAGCATGTTTCCAGGAGTTTTATCAGCTTTGACACTAGCATGTTCTGAGGCAGGTTCACACATGCACTCGCTGACCCCAAGTGCCCAACTCCAGAAATGCAATGCGACCCTCAGGCCTGTGGGCTTGGAATGCTCTTCCCCACCCTCCTCTTCCCTCTTTCCTTCCTCTCTTCTTCTACTGTCTTTCTCATGATCCTTTCTCCTGTTTTCTTTTCCAATTCAACCTGCTTTTCTAACTGATCAGTTTCTGTGGTTTTCCAGCTTGAGAGTGGTGGAATTCTAGAAGTGATCGCATGCCCTCAGTAGCCCTTTTCCTGTAGAGCAGTTGGTCAGGGTTCCTGGAAGTGACACATGGGCTTGGTCCTTGGTCTGGGTTCAGAAAGGTGGCCGATAAGGAGAGTCAGTGCCCTTCTGAGATGGAGAGCCTGTGAAGAACTGTAACCCAAACTTGTTTGAAAGTTGGTGATGGAAAGTGTTCCTTGAATGAAAAATATCACTCCCCAACTCCCTTTTCCCCCCAGAGGTCCTACTGTGGAGGCTACTCCTCACCTGCTTCAGGCCACAGCATGGATGTGCCCTGGCTCCCTCTTGTTCTTCTCTCCTTCCCCTGCCCAGTGGGCGTCTGGCACCTTGATCAGCTTTGTGGCAGTGTTGGGTGAAGGTAACCCATCCACAGAGGGGCAAAGGCACCCATGCCATGCCTCGCAAATGAGTCTTCTTTGGTGGCCCCCCACCAACACTTGGGTGCAGTGACAGTCGCAGACGAAGTGTTTTCTGTGTTTTGATCACATTCCAAGGGCATTTATTCTTTCCTTCCAAGTGTCCCATGTGGTCAGGATCTGGGGACTTGAGTGCCTTGGGCCACATGGCCCACTCCACATGTGGGGCTTATGAACACAGCCACACACCCTGCTGGACCGTGATGGGGGAGCTCTGCACAAGTTGGGGGACGTCCCCTGCCCTGGCCACGGGACACGGATAGCGGCAGGGTGAGGTCTGGCTTGAGCCAAACTGCCTAGCTTCATCCTCTGGCCCAGACAACGCACTCAGGAGAGATGGTGGCTGGCGCTGCCAGTGGCCAGTGCAGACACTTGCTTCTCCAGCCACGTGACATCATCTTCTCTTGGACACGACTCTTGGGGAAAAGCCATGACATCAGGCTGGCAAGGAAGGTTGGGGGGGATCCTGCCTTTCTGGAATGGGAGTGCCCCCATGTGCGTGTTCTCACCAAGTCTGTCCCCGACCAAGACCCCCTCCTAGGCACTGCCAGAGGCTGCACCTTGCAAGGGTGTTACTCACAGACAAGTGTCTTGCTCACAGCCACAGAGGCTGGGGGTTGCTGTGAACCCACCACCCTGGCCACTGCCTACAGCGCTGAGCCCTATGTTCTGCAGCTAAGAAGGAGCAGGGAGGACTATCCTTGCAGAGGGTGTCACAGAGCCTGGGCCTCAGTGCAGAGGGCCGTGCAAAGGACTCCCTGGTCCTCACAGTGTAGTTCAGAGGACCTTCTTGAGCAGCTGGATCCTGAGAACCTCAGGCCACTTGGAGACGCAGAGTGTCAGAGCAGGAGGTCCCAGCAGCTGGGGTTCATTTGAACAGGTGATGCTTACCTGGATGGAGGTGGTGGGTGATTTCCATTAAAATACAGAAGCCTCCTTGCCCCAGATGTGGGTTGAAATGTGACCACACATGACTGAGGTGGCGGCATCATAATCTCAGTGGGGTCTGAGTCACCCCAAAGCCTGACAGGAGGGAGATTGACCCGTTGGCCAACTGCTAGGCCAGGGAAGAATCGATGGGTGGCCCTTGGGCAGGGACGAGGAAGACACCTCGAGAAGGTCTGAGGGGCTGGGAAGGAGACCCCCTGGGCATCTAGCCCCTCTGTGTTGCCATGCCAGACTAATGGGGGCGGCAGTGTCGGCCCGTGGACATCTGGGAGGAGGATGAAGAGGAAGGGCCTTGGGCGTGCCAGAGCCTGGGCACAAGGCAGCTTCCACTGATAGACAGGCCAACTTCAATGTCTGTGTCCTGCCCCAGCTGGTGCTCTGCCCCGCCACCCTCTAGTGCCAGTTTTCTGCTGAGGAATGGCCTTGGCTCCACAACTCTCTCTCTGTATGAGGATGAAGCCAGAAATGGCAGATAAACACCAAGGTCCTGCTGGGTCACACAGGATGGAACTGGGCCCTCATGAGGGATAAGGCGTGAGTAGCAGGCCCATCCTGGAGGAGGCGTCCTGAGGACCGCCTGCAGGGTAGGAAACTAGTGCTCTGATGCCAGCAGAAATCGATCCATGTTTTGTCACTGGACACTCAGGGAAAGATAGCTCAAGCTGGTGTATTAAAGGGGATTTCTGCCTGAGACATGATATATTCACCAAAAATTTTGGGTGTAGAAAGTCAGACTTTTGCATTCTGTACCTCCCCAGCTCCCTTCCACTGGTACCAGCCACCTCTCAAAAACCTTGGGCACTTGCCAAGTGGGGGTGATGCCCCAACATTGCCAGGGCTGGGGGTGGTGTGTCTCAGGTGCTCTGTACAGCTGTCTGTGAGCACAGGCGGTCCTTCTCCAGCAACCTCAAGGAGGATGAGCCGGTCCTCGGTGCTAGGTTTGCATTCTGAGAGCACACTTAAAGGCCCACAGGTGTTCTGGAGCCTTCTCATCCAGCCTGGTCCTTTGCAGGAGGTCAAGTTGGGAACCCACCGTCCTGCAGAGGAATGTGCTCTTCCCTGGCCCTCCTGGCTGGTATCACCCAGAGAGACTGGGTGCCAAGTTCTGAGGCCTGGAGGTCATGACTATGTGAGAACTCAGTGGTGGGGCTTTCAAGGGCCGAGTGACTTCCGCGGCTCTGGTCTCAGCCATGCTGTCCTCCACAGGTGCCCCACGCCCGGCTGTGATGGCTCAGGCCACATAACGGGGAACTACGCGTCGCACCGGAGGTGAGCCTGCCCCAGGTGCCCTGGGCGCCGGGCCAGCAGAGTGGGGGTCTCCTTAGGCTGATGAAGTTCCAGGCCCCAAGTGACACATTAGTGCCACTGCACCCCAGCCTGTTTCTTCCCTCGAGTCTGAATTGTCGATATTCTGGCCAGAGCTGGGGGCCGCTTCCTGGACGTGGCCTTGCTGCCCACAGAGCCTGAGGGCTGGAGGGAGGTAGGTGGGTTAAGTTGCTGTCCTTAAAACACTGTGGCATTTTTTCCTCTTGTAAAACCAGCTTGTCAGGCTGCCCTCGTGCCAAGAAAAGCGGAGCCAAGGCCACACCTGCAAAGGACGACAAGGAAGACCCCGAGCTGATGAAGTGAGTGGGGGCTCCTGCTGGCCGCCTGGCTGCTGTGCAGACTTGGGGTTTCCCTGTATTTTTTAATTTTAAAAGCTCCTTTTAGACTCTATTTGCTTTGATACAGCTGTGACAATGCCCATTTTTACAGACGTGCTCAGGCCATGCATAGGGACACCCTTGCAGGTGGGAGCCATGTGCGTTATGTGGAGGACACCTGCATGCATGGGCTCCTGTCTGGACTTCTCAGGTCTGTGGTGTTTGACGGGCCGAGAGAGGCAGAGTGCCCTGCCGCCTGTGCACCCAGGGCATCTGGGCCTGGGCCTCAGGGTGTAGGCCACCCCTGGCATTCACAGGCACTACAGCCTGCATGGCTTCTGGTCTGGTGGGAGGGGTCAATGTTGGAGTCAAGGAGGAGAGGGTGGTTAGAAAGACAGGGAGCCTTTGAATTGAGTATATCTATGTGTCCCCATGCCTCTGCAGGGAGCTGATGTGCAGTGAGGGGGCCTGGGAGGGTCACTCTGAACTGGGACTCGCCAGTCCTCTTGGGAGGAGAGAGACACCCTGGGCCTTAGGTGAACAGTGTCCCTGACCTCTCTCTACTGACCTTCTCCCTGGGGATTGCTGCCCTGTCATGAACCCTGACCTGGACTCATCTGGTGGGGCTGGTATCACGGAAAACTTTTCCTTCCAGAAGGGACCCTGCCCCTCAAGCTCCCCACTTGCAGGTGCCACAGGTGCAAGCAGGGTGACCCACCACCCAATTTGCCCAGGACTTTCAGAGCTGACATTAGGTAGAGCAGGCAGTGGGTCCCGCTGGGGCAGGCAAGGACTGGAGAAGAATGACTCTGGCTGCCTGGTGGCCCAGGTACTGGAGTAGTTTGGCTGGGCAGGTCCACGGGAAGCAGGTCTGCCATGACAGCTGGCACTCACCTCTGCAGAGGGAGGGGCTCGACCTGGTCGGAGTTGTGCTGGCTTCTCCAGGGAGATCAGCCCAGCTGTGGCCCAAACATCTGCTGGCCACAGAGAACGGGCCAAATTGACCAGTGTTATGCCCTTCAAAGAGGACGGCCCCACCAGCTGTTTGCTGTAATAAGGCAGTGACTTGTTTATTTAATTTATACAGTAAAACTGTAATGAATACTAAATCAAAAATGCAAAATACTGGTTGTTGGTATTGTGAATGCTGCCTACCAAATGAGAGGGTGGATAAAGAATATTTTTTTCTTCCAAGAATCTAGGAATTTGCCTGTGATCATATAAACGCATTGCTGTTATGGATTTAGCAGGGATCCTGCTGGTGTGATAAGTGAATTGTGCTGCATTTGCAAACGATGAAAATCAAGATCAGCATTTTTCACATTAACTGGGAAAAATGGTTTTCCTCTTCCTGATGTGCTGTCAACTTTGCTTTTAAAAAGAACTCGAGAATTTGCAGCCAAGTGGAGAATGTGACTTCTAGAAATAGTTCAGCATTTATAGGATGGATGAAGTTTCTAATGGCTCCATGGCAAGGGGAAGAGGCCACCCATGTAGCGCCTCTGTTTTATAGGACCTCCTCCCTAGCCATAAACTTTACCCATATTTATAATTGATGAGCGTCTTTACACAAGTGCAGACGGCAGCAGAAACTTTAATCAGTGCTCCAGTTCCTACTACTTGCAGTGACGTGGCTGGCAGGCACTGGCTGTGATGTGTAAGGGCTGGTGGAGGCAGGATCCCTTTTATGATATCTTGTGTCTGCAGCTTTTGAGATTAAGTCAGGTCAGTGCTTTGTGGTAAATCCCTTTAGCCACAAGTAGATAACTGACCATGAAAGTCTATGGAGGTTCCAATGTGGAGGTTGGGAGCTGCATGTCCATCACCGTGGAGAGGCCACACTGTCCCCGGCTGTGCTGGCACTTGACCAAAGAGCTGTGCCTCTGACCAGGGGTCCCCTGGGTGTGCTACACGACTTAACGAGAGGTCACCTGACACTGAAGATTTGGACCCAGGGTGTGGAGGGAGAGACCAGCAGTGTTACTGCAGCATGTCATGAATACACTTTCTGGGGGCGCCTGCAGCCCCTCCTGAGGTGAAGGCTAGGGTTCTGCAAAGACAGTGGGAAAGCAGAGCCTAGGTTCATCTGTGTGGTGACTTGAAGAGGCTCCTGTCACTTTTTGATCCTGTGACATCAGCTTCACAGGCACCTCAGAGGGGCCCAGCCCAGAAGTCCTCTGGAACCCCACAGTTGGGATGTGTCCAAGTGTGGGGGGTGGACATAGACTGGAACCTCCCCAAGCCCCCTGCAGGGGTCCCTGGTAGTGACTCTGTTCTGGACTGGGGCTACGGTGGCCTTGGACCAGCTCAGTGGACAGCCCTCATGTCTGGGCCCACTTGGCTGGGCTAGATAGGAAAGAAGAGCCAAGAGAGGGGACAGATGAGGATGGTCCCAGCTGAGGAGGCCACTTCTGAGACTGAAAGGTTGCTGCTGCGAGCCGTGAATGACGCCGGGATTCGTGGCTTCCGCAGGAGAGGAATTCGATCGGCGGTCAGAGACAAGGCTTGATCACTTGGAGTTTTTGTGTAGCAAAGTTTTATTAAAGTATAAAATGAATAGAGAAAGTGGCTGACACAGACATCAAAGGGAACAGAAAGAGTGCCCCCTTGCTAGTTTTTAGCAAGGTGTTTTATACCTTTTGGCAAGCTGCTAATCAGATAAAAGAAATGCCTCAAGATTGAGAGTTGCACCAGGCCCCTCTCCCACAAGGTGCATTTTGAGATAGAATGGCACAAGGGGAGTCATCCCTGGCCATAGAACAATTGACATGAATCTTGAAGAAAGACAGATTTCCAAGCAAAGACATAATTTCATTAACACAGCTTAAAACATATCCATAAGAAAAACACATTGGTTAGCTCAAGGTTTGAGATAAAGTTCAGTTTAGGTGGAACCAGGTGTTGCCGTGACAACACAGGATTAGAAGAGAAAAAAAAACCATCTGCCACTTGAAGTTTATTTCCTCCTGCTGCTTGGGGACCTCTAGCCTTCCTACCCAGGCTGTTAACCCTCTCAAGATGAGGGTAGAGTGTGGGGGCTGCCAGGCAGCACACCACCCCCAGCCTTGCCATCTCTGGGGGCTTCCTTCCTCTGTCTTGTCTGTATCCCAGGGACCTCTCTGTGAACTGGGTCCTCTGTGCCTTTTGGGTCTGCGGCTGTAGAAAGCGTTGACAAATGGATAGTGCTCAGAGCAAGCTCCCAGCAAGTGGTCTCTGGGGTGATACAGAAATGGTGCTGGCAGCAAGGTCCAGGTGTGGACCAGGAGGCCACCAAGAGTCTGCTCCAGGCCCCTGGGGTCCCTGCTGCTGAGGGACAGGGAGAGAAGGTGGCTGCTGACCCCCAAGCCACACAGGGGATGTAGGGGACCCCAGCACGTCTCAGGGTGTGGCTTGGCGGGCTCTCTGGGCTCCTCCTCCAGCTCCAGCACCCAGTATTCACCTCTGACCTCTCTGCGCCCAGGTGCCCGGTTCCAGGCTGTGTGGGGCTTGGTCACATCAGCGGCAAATACGCCTCTCACAGAAGCGCGTCCGGCTGCCCGCTGGCAGCTCGGAGGCAGAAGGAGGGTTCCCTCAATGGCTCCTCTTTTTCCTGGAAGTCCCTGAAGAATGAGGGGCCCGCCTGCCCCACCCCGGGCTGCGACGGCTCCGGTCACGCCAATGGGAGCTTCCTCACCCACCGCAGGTGATTGTCCCCACCCCCACCCTTCTGTCACCCAGGAGAGACCCCAGCTGTGGGACTGTGGCAAGGCTCCCAGGGATTGTGCCAGACCAGGGTGCAGGTGAGAACAGTAGTTTCTTGAGGAAAAAGACCCAAATTGATAGCCACCTGAGGGAAGCCATGGAAACCTGCTGGGACCACGTGATGGCCTGTGTGATGTGTCACCCAGGTGTCTACTGTCCTAAGACCCCTTTATACATCCCATGGAGTCCCTCTGGCAAGAGAGAGCAGAGCCCTCCTGTGTCTGGAACACACTTTCTTAAAGCAGGCTGAGGCTTTTCCTGAAAAGCATTGTCACAGCTCACGCCCTGTCCCTTCTACTGGGGTTTCTTCTCTAAACTTGGGGCCGGGTCCTTCCTTGCTCTACAAGGGACCCCTCCATGCCTGGGCAGTGGGCTCGGGCAGCACTGGCCAGCTCCGACCTGCCCTGATGCTGCCCCTGGCGCTGAGGGTCTTGCCCCAGCAACCCTCTTCCTCCTCTCTGTGCTGGGAAGCCACACCAGTCACTGCTCGGTCCTGTCAGAAACCTTTTTCCTATGTTATTTTTTTGTCTTCATCTCTCCACCTTTAAGATTAATTAGCTCATTCATTCCACAAGCCACTGCTGAAAGCACATCAAATACCAGTCTCTGGAGAACAAGATGACAACCAGCCCTCCTGGAGCTGAGTGGTCAGGGCAGGTGCAGAGACAGACTGCAAACCAACAAATATGTTATTAGTTTGGCAAAGGACACCGTGGGGAAGATAGAGCAGGCAGGGGTGAGGAGGTCTTTTCTGAGAGGTGGTGCTTGTCCTGAGCCTCTGGGGACAAACCTTCAGGGCAGGGGCCTGAGCTGGGAATGGCCTGCGCTGTTGGAGGAGTGAGGAAGCCGGGAGCCTGGAGCCAGGACTGGGACACCAGGGATGATTGACAACGCTCCAGAAAGGATAGTCCTCCAACAGCCCAGCTCTCACTGGGACTTGTGACCTTAGACTGGCCTGTGAGGCATGACCTTGAATTGGTCTTCATGCATGACCTTTGCTTCCAGCTTGTCTGGCTGTCCCAGAGCGACCTTTGCAGGAAAGAAGGGAAAGCTCTCAGGGGATGAGGTTCTTGGCACGAAATTCAAGACAAGTGATGGTGAGGCTGCCCCCTGCACTCCCTGCATGTGGTCTTGGGACCTGAGTGGGCGGGTGGTTTAGGCAAGAGATGGGTCAGGAGGCAAAGCCCCTCCTGGAGTGAGTCGTGGTGGAGACAGAGCTCTTGAGCTGAGCTGCCAGGGCCCCTCACCTTGGCTCAGAACCTCTGGCTGCCCTGTGCCCAGCGTGGCCATCATAGCTCTAGCCTGGGGCTTGGTAAGCCCTACTGGCAGCACCAGAAGCCATGTGCTTGGGGAGTATGGACCTGTGTTCTCAGGATTCATGAGAGGGAAGCAGAGGAAACCAGAACCATCTGGAAAAGCTTCCATTTTTGTCTTAGCAATTAACACTTGCCCAGGAGGTATCTGTTTTCCCACCAAGACCAGGGCCTGGAGGCACACAGCTGACATGCAGCCACTTTCCCAGTCTGAGATGTGGGCCATGAGCCACTGGGGCTTCTACTCTGAAAGGGCTCCCCAGGCCTATCTAGAAAGCAGGCCTTGACTGACCCCCTCCCCACCTTGTGAGAGCCACAACTGAGCTTTCTCTCTGGGGTAGTGCTGGACAACGATGAGGAGATCAAGCAGCTGAACCAGGAGATTCGAGACCTGAACGAGTCCAACTCTGAGATGGAGGCCGCCATGCTGCAGCTGCAGTCCCAGGTGGGTGGAGCCGCCCCGCCTTGCCCCCACCTGCCCTCAAACCCAGGATGTCCTTCCCATCCTCCCTCTTCTTTTCTGGGTTGGGGGGCACCCAGCCCCTCATCAAGGTTCTGCTCAGCATGTGCTCTGCCCATCAGGAGCCCTGAGGTGCTGGTAGCCACCATCCTGTTGGTTAGTAGGAGCAGAACCGCATCGTGGGTCATCAGAACCTGACTGGAGCTGGGTTCCAGCCCAGCATGGCCATACACCAGCTCAGTGACTTGGTGGACCTCTCATTCCGAGTAATGTGCCTTGACGTCCTCCCAGGCAGATGAGGATAATATGAGAATCTGCCTGATTCGGTTGTCAAGAGACAAATGCATTTCTATAAGGAAAGCAATTTGAACAGGATCTGACCCAGAAGAACTGCTGCACTGAGGGACAGGGTTACAGATTGCCTTGCATCTGTGTCCTATCCTTGAGTTTCCCAAAATGAACACTCAAAAACAAAACAAAACAAAACAAAAACAAACCACCAAACCAAAAAACAGTGAAATTCTTATTTTGAAAAGAAGAACATGCCCTTCCTTGACTGCTGAGTGGGGGCTGGAGCAGAGATAAGGGCACAGAGGAACAGCTGCGCACGGCCATGTCCCCAAGGACAAGGAGGTGACCTGGCCCTATGGGGTTGGAGGGTGGAGGGAACCGGGGAAGTGTGAGATTCTGGAGTCCATGTGTCTTCTCTGGCCCCTCTTTTCTCTGGCAGACGGGCTTTTATGCCGACCTCCTCTTACCCAGAAGCCGGTGTAAAAATAGCACCAGCTGATGAGGATCAGCAGGGATTTCTGTCCTGCCGCGCAGCGTCTCCCCAGTTCAGAGGCAGTGGAAGTGGAGGGGGGTACAGGGGCTGTCTCTGGGCACTGAGACGCCCTTCTGGGTGGCTTTCCCCACATTCTTCCCTGCCGTTTTCCTTCTCGAAGTCCAAGCCATCTCCCAGTGTCAGCACCCTTGGAAAGCACCTCTGGTTTCTCTTTATTGGCCAGCACCCACCTACTTATAGAGAGATTATTCACTAGTGTCCTTTTTGGAAGGACTCAGAGTCCCCTTTCCCCTCCAGGGAGTTTTGCGTTGTGTGCCCTGCCGGAGAGCTCAGGCAGGGAAAGCAGGCTCAGGACCTCTGCTCAAACCTTTTAAACCCAAAGGCTTGTCACTGGGTAAGGAGGACATGATGCTCCTCCCCAGCCCCTCCTAAAAGGGCTTAGCGATGGCCTGAGGTGCCATCCACACTGATGAGCTTGCCTCTGCCCAGAGTGAGGCTGGGGGCTGCCCTCCCAAGCATGTCTGCTCCAGGCCAGGCCCCGGGGTGGCCTTCTTGCCCACCTTGCCTATGGGGCTTTGACACTCTGGGACTCATGTGGTGCCTGCAGCACCCAGAGCAGGTGAGACTGCCCATGGCCGTCAGCCCGGTGGACTTGTCCTCTGTCCTCTGCTGTTTCATGTGAAAGCCTTGGAGCCCCGGGAGAACTTTCAGACTCGCTCCTGGTGCCCTGTTGGGTCCAGAGAAGATATATTTGTGCTGGAAACCCCAGGATGGTCTTTGGTGTGCTGGTGCACTCAGCCGAGAATGGCAGTGGTCTGCTCTGCTGCCTTCATAGTTTTGATGAGGCACCTGGTTGGTCTTTCTGGTGGGAGATGTTCCACAATGTGGGAACAGTGTTTCCACCACAGAGGAAGAGCAGGAAGCCAGTGGTGGGCTGGGATGTGAGCCCAGTGCCTCCTTCTGTGCTCCTCTCCACCCCACAGGACAGCTGGGCTCAGAAACCCATGGCCCCCCAGCCCCTAGCTCAGTCACTGTGTTCCCCACCCTCCACCCAGGGACCAGGGCACTGCCAACCCTCACTGTGGCAGGGCTCCTGCCTCTTTGCCCTCTCCCGGAGGGACGTGAGACGGCCCAGTGGGCATGCCTGGCCTGCTCCCAGGAGGACACTCCAGGCGGCAGCTCCCGTCTCTGTCTGGCAGATCTCGTCCATGGAGAAAAGCCTGAAGAACATCGAGGAGGAGAACAAGCTCATCGAGGAGCAGAACGAAGCCCTGTTTCTGGAGCTGTCGGGCCTGAGCCAGGCCCTCATCCAAAGTCTTGCCAACATCCGCCTTCCGCACATGGTAAGCAGTCAGCAGCCCTGGGCCTCCCTAGCTGAGCTGGCACCTGTGTCCTGGGGCTTCGGGGAGGGCAGGCACCCCTCTGCCTCTGGGAGGGCCCCACCCTGGGCAGATTGCTGCCCATGGCAGCTGTCACGTCCTGGGCAGCCTGTGCCATGGTGGTCTCAGCCTGAGTGCTGCCTGTGGTGGGTCTGTGTGCTCATCCCTGGCGGCGTGGGCTTCCTGGGTCTGAGGCTTCCCCATCCACTCCCATTGCTTCTGGAAACCCTGGGGCTCCCACATGGATGGGCCTCGCTAAACCAGTTGTGTTCTCCAGGAGCCGATATGTGAGCAGAATTTTGACGCCTATGTCAGCACCCTCACCGACATGTACTCCAACCAGGAGTGCTACCAGAACCCCGAGAACAAGGACCTCCTCGAGAGCATCAAGCAGGCCGTGAGGGGCATCCAGGTCTAGGCCTCCTTGTGTGAGGAGCCACCATGCTGACTCGGGGCGCCCAGGGCACCCCGACTCGCCTCTGTCTTTTACCTCCCTAGCCCTGCCCTCCCAGTGGAGATTCCCACTCACAGTGACTTCTCGTTGGCAGCCCAGGGTGGCCTCGGCGAGGGGGTGGGAGTGTTTAGCCAGAGGAGTGCCTGGAAATCCTCGTCTCCCTCGATGTGACGCACGCGCCAGGCCAGAGGCCTTGACCTCTCAATGTGAGTGCGGGGCGTGAAGTATTACAAAGTGATTTATTTTTGCTTCTGAAAGCTCGAAGTCTCCAATGGAAACTCACGGACAAGGTTCTCAGGGAAGTTTTGGAGCTGCAACCACAGTATTCCTTTGTCTGTCAAGGCCGAGAGGGCAGCCTGGCCGGGCGGGTGGTGCGTGTGACGAGTCAGCCTGGAGTGGCCAGTGTGCCCACGCGGTGAGGCCGCTGTGACAAGTGTGTTTCCTGTTGTCCTTTAATTCACTTTTATGTTAAGCGTGGAAGAGAGCAGCGTTCCAGAGGGTAGGTTAGGAACAGGCCTGGAGGAAGCTGGCCCGGGACCCCCTGAAGACAGCGCTGGCTCCACAGGGAAGCACCTCTGGCGGAGCCTGCAGACCCTGTGCTCAGGGTCAGGCTCCCTCAAGGCTGCAGCCTTTAGACCCAGGTCGGGGTCAAGGTCAGGGCCTCTGGCTGTCTGTGTGCCCACCTGGCTTGTGACCCACCACTGCCCATCACCGGGTCATGGCTGAGCTTTACTGAGGTGGGGGAAGTGACAGCAAGGTCAGGGGATAAATTCCTGACTGGAGACCACCAAGGTATCACTTCTTTTTAGATCCATTCGAGATTCAAAAGAAGATAAAGTTTGATTTAGTGTGTTAAAAACACAATGTTCCTAACATGTAAATAGAGTCCAAGCCAACTGTGACTGCGATTCCAAGTTAGTATTTAAAAGTAGAGAAATTGCACTTCCTGGAAGAAATGAGAAAGTAGTTAGTTTAATTATTCTGTAAATTATTTAATTTTGTCAAAATGTAAGTATTTATATTCACAACCTCTTATGTTAATGTTGGCTATTTATTTAACATTTTTATTTATTAATTTTATACTATTTTACCTAGACCCCACACCAGGACATATGAGAGGGAAGTAAATGAAATCAAAGCAAACTTAACTATTTGACTATGAGAAGGGCCACAAAAAAATCTTGCTGTAACTTCTAGTTATGATTTTAATGCAACTGAGTTATTTTTTATATATTTTGTTATTTATTCTTTTTAATAATGGAGTTTTTAAAAAGTATTTTGTAACTGAGGAATTTTGATAATTTGGGGATGTTTCCCCTTTGGTCCAATGGAAAGAAAGACTTTTTGGTTCTCTTCATCCCTTTGGCTCCTTTTGTTTCAGGCACGGACGACAGCAAATGGCATTCTGTGTTTATTGTTTATTTAAGTGTAGTGCAGCTGTGTGCTCTGGCGTGTCTCTTGTGTTGCGTCTGTGTGCCGGTTCTTGATGGCTGAGTCCTATCGCTGTGAGGGGCGCTGGCTGCAGGCCGCCCTGAGCAGCTCCCGCTCTAGGCTCCTGTCCTCTGACAGCTCTGATACTGTGATCCTCCTTCCTCAGGAAACGCTGACCCCACAGCACAGCACTTCTCAGTGTGTTTGCAGGGTGATTTCCTAATAAAAGTCCACTCTGACTGTGAGTGGGAGCCGTGTCTGTGGTGGGGACGCCGACTCGGTCCCGGGAGCTCTGGGGGTCACCTTCCTGGAGCGAGGGCGGTGGGCGGGTCCTCCGTGTGAGCACGTGGAAGCGACATTTCCTTTGCGGAACCGCCCTCCCCGGAGGGCTGAGTCACGGACCGCGCATGTGTGAATCGGGGGTTTCTCTTAGGGTCGGAAGAAGTCTTCCGGCTGGCGTTGTTGGCCTGGGGGGTGTGAAATGAGGGCTGCCCCGGGCCACCTCTCCTGGCTTCAGGAGGAAGCCCTGTGCAGGCGAGAGTTTGGACTTTCCGGAGGGAGGCAGAGTTGAGAGGAGGGGAGAGAAAAGTGGGAGGGGGAGGCAGAGCCAGCTCTCTGGTGGACTTTTCAGAGCTTCTGCATTCAGCCATCTGTGAAGGTGGCTATGATGGCAGTGGCTCCTCACTGCTTTACACTTTTGTGTCAGGTGTGGCTCTCCCAAGTGAGACTCAGGTTTGGGGCTTCTAGTCAACATGCACCCTGAACTGTCAACATGATTTGACCTCCCTGGGCATCTAGCTCTTGAGGGCAACCTGGAGCTCCCCAACTGACCTGTGAATAAAGGGAGACTTTAGGAATTCCGGGCCTTACTTTCAAGCCCTGTCCAAGTTGGACGGTTGAGGGTCTGGAGGGCTCCAGCTGCTGGCGGTGGGGACCATGGAGGGGTTGTGTGAAACCTGTGCAGCCTTGAGGAGGGGCTCCTGGAGGGCAAAGAGGATTGGCGGTCCAGGTCATACCCATCCATGTCAGCACCCATCCATGGGTGCTGGGGTGACAGCATTCTGGGGCCGTGAAAGTTGGCTGCCTGATGGCAGGTGACGATCAGAGGCCAGGACTGTGGAGGAATGGGCGGATGGCCACGTCCATCCTGCAAGGCCATCCTGCATCATCCTGCTCCCACCCTCTCCCAGGGCTCCGCCTGCTCCCTGCCAAGTGTTTAGCGGGCTGCTTAGCCTCCTGTCTGAAATGTTGCACTTCAGGGGACCCATCTCCCTGCCCCCAACCCCGCACCAGTTTAGCCAGAACCTCTTCCCAGCACCATGGGGCGTGGCCTCAGCGCGTACTTCCAAGGCCTCCAGCAACCTGAGAAGCACTGATGCCTGTGGAGGCGACAGTGTGCAGGTGCAGGTGTGCTTGCCACACTGGTCCCCAGCCGGCTTCATCGCGGGGTGCTCTGCCGGTGGGCTCTGCGAAACCTGATTGGTCTGAAGACCCAGGAAGACAGCATGACTGGGAACAGGGCCCCGGAGGTCAGCCTCCAGAGCAGGTGAGTGTGCATATGTAGGGGGATCAAGGGGCTGTGGAGGGTGGGGACAGGGCTAAAGCGGGACTCCCTCCACTAGCCACATCTCAGTAAAGACTTCTGTGCGTAGTTGGGGACAGGTGGGCCACGGTGAGAGGGCAGCCAGGAAGAGATCAGTTCCAAACCAGCCCTGGACTGGCTCTGGGCCTGGGCTCCAGCCAGGATGGACTCAGTTTTGCCCTTCAGAGCTGCTCTGGCCCACGGCTGGCTGGGTGCACCAAGGGTGTGCCCCTGGGACATGGGTGGCACCCCCTGCTGTGGGATCCTGGAAGACCTCTCAGAGAAGCTGTGTGTGGGATGTGGCTGGTGGTTCGGAGGAAAGGCTTGCTGGAGAGGGAACACTGAGCATCCTGAGCATGGATGTTGGTGCGTAGGACCCTGATATTGAAGAACTATGGCACAGAGGAGGCTGCTTGATCCTGTAAGACCTGTAGGTTTTCCCAACTCTGTTTCGGTTGCCAGAGTTCTGGGATGTACTAGGGAGCCTGGTCTCAGTGTTCTGGGTCCTCAGTATCTTTCCTTTGGAAGCTCTTGGCTTCCATTCACCATGATGTCCTGGTCTTCTGAGGGTTTGTCCACTGTGGGGTCAGCAGGCTGAGCTTGAATGGGGCTCTGCCTTCACCCACTGGTGTCTGTGCCTGATGCTGTGGGCAGAGGGACCACAGTAGCCCCCCTGGCTTCAAGCAGATGGAGCATCATGATGCTAGAAGGTTGTATAATTCTGCAGTCCGATGATGACATTAGCTATTCTCCCCCCAAAAGCTGCTTCCACCTCTTGCTTGGAGGGTCTGCCTCCAGGTTGGGGGCGGGTCTTGGTGTCATTGGCATATACTCAGGACTTATTTTTGGTATGGGGACCTCATCCATAGCCAGGCCTCCTCTCCCAGCCTGCAGCCCCTTCTTTTACACTTTCCAGAGAGTATAACTCAAGATTTTATCTGGAGGGAGGGGAGCATTCCCCAGTGCCAGTCATCTATGTTACAGGCCCCCTCTTCCTTCTCCAGCATCACCTGAATCTGCCAGTTCCTGGCTTCCTGAGGAGTGGATGGCCTTGGTCCTGAACTTCCCACACTCTGGCTGTAATTCAGCCTTTGGGTCTAGAAGACATTCACTACACATTTGTGTGTTTTGGCTTCTAAATCACATTGTTGGCTCCTCTTCCATCTTCCGATTCCTGTCAGTTTATACCTTAAAAGCTGTCAGTTTAGCCAGGTCTTGAGAGGATGCCAAGGTAGATAAGTGAGTCTACCTGCCCTCCTTACTTGGACCCACAGGTGGAGAGCACCTGGCTGTGTGTGGAGGCTGCCTGATTGCAGGAGAGACTTTCTCCCCTTCACCACTGTGCTGCTAAGGCTCGTGGCTCTGTAGAGGCTGTTACAGCTGTGGGTGTGGAGGGTTCCTAACATGGGGCAATATAGGTCCAAACTTGCCATACAGATCAGCCAGTGTTATAGACGCTTCCTTTCTCTTTGTTCCTCCTCCGAAATGGTAGATGGCTTCTCTGACAGAACTCCAGTCCCCACGTCAGCCAAGTGCCTGTCAGGTTAAACCACACGGGGCCAGGTGACCCATGACTGTAGGCATCCTACCAGTGCTGGCAGCTGGCCCTTGGGAGAGGCCCTACGGTCTCCTCTGTCCCCCAACCCTCTGCCCCCACTAGCCTCTCCCCTTTCCCTATCCCCTCATGTCAAGGGTGTGTAGGCCGCTGAAGTCTGGCCTTCCCTCTCCTGATACATTTTATGGCTCCCCATCCCTTGGTCTCTGGGCTCTCCTCCAACCTGTCCCCTTGCACCCTGCAGAGGTGGCCCTGGGTCACCCCCTGGCCTCTGCCCTCTCTTTCTCACCCTCCCTACAGCAGTGTGCCATGTGCAGAGAATGCCTGCGCTGTTCCCCGAGCCTGCCTTTCCCAGCCTAGCGCTTTCTGGGTCTCCACTTGAATGTCCCACCTGTTGCAGCAGGGCTGATTAGGGTGCCCATTGTCAGGCCAGAGTGGGCAGGGGGATGGCTGCACAGGGCAGGAGGAGGGCCCAGGGCCCAGGCTGTGAATTAGGAAGATCCAGCTGTGCCCCTTGACACCTTGGCTAGGGGCAGCTCAAAGGTGGGAGCCACGCCTGGCAGAAGCCCCAGGGTTAAGAAGTCTGTAGACCTGGTTGGAGCATTAGGCAAGAGACCCTGAGCCTAACCCTCCTGATAGGGGTCTCCAGGGTGAACTCCAGCCTCAGCCCCCCACCTTCTGGTCCCTCCTTCCAGTTGCTGAGGGCCTGAGAGGAAAGCATTAAGTGCTTCTGATTTGTAAATAGCATCAGTTTAAAATGTGAAGGGGGCTTCCCTGGTGGCTCAGATGGTAAAGAATCCACCTGCAATGCGGGAAACCTGGGTTCGATCCCTGGGTTGGGAAGATGCCCCTGGAGGAGGGCATGGCAACCTACTCCAGTATTCTTGCCTGGAGAATCCCCATGGACAGAGGAGCCTACAGTCTATGGGGTCACAAAGAGTTGGACACGACTGAGCAAGAGTGGCCACAAAGAGACAGTATTTGTCTCCCTTCACCTTGAGCTCATAACAGATTGGGTCTTTTTTCCCAGGATGAGGAGAAGGCTCATTACAGATCAGCATGTCTGTAATGTGGCCTGAGGCACCTGGATGCCCCAGGGCAGTATGGGAAGAGCCAGGTGGAAGCTGACCTCTGTGTTTTGGACAAAGACGGTGATGTTGCCTCAGGCGGCCCCGCCTGGACATAGGGGGTCTGTGGCTTTATTTCTAGGTTCACACAGTCCACGTCCTCCGAAGGGAGGAGGGCAAACCGGCCACATGTTCTAATCTGCTCTCTGGATCCTCCTGGAGAGGGTCCACCTTCGTTGTAAGCTGGGGATGGTGGCGGCCACCAGGCAGCTCACATCTGCTGTTGGAGTGGCCTCGTGAACAGGAAGGCCCAGAGGCCCCCTCTTCTGTTGTTGGGTGAGGATTCACTGTCACTGGAGTGACCATAGGTTTCCCACAGAGTGGCCAGGCTTGTCCATGAGGCGGTCTCCTCCAATGCACATATTTTTGCTCATAAGCAGAGAGGAGTAAGACATGGTCCTTGCCCTGGGACCACATTTTCCAGAACTTTCCTGATCACTCCAGAACCACCTCCACACTGTACCCTCCCTGGAGGCCCCTCCACATTCACGTTGTTTCTGGAGGGTACGGTGGCCTCCTGGCTTCATCCCCTGTGCTGACCCTGGGTTGAGGGGAAGGTCTGCCCTGTGTGATTCCCACCAAACTCAGGTCTGAGATCATGACTAGACCTACATACTCGTTTCCTTTGTGAAGTGCTAAGTCTTGGGGCCTTTTAGAGTCCAGAACAACTTGAAATTGAGAAATGACATGTGCATGTGCAGAGGCTTTCTTTACCTGGTCCATGGCCCTCTCCAAATTCTTCAGTGCAGCAGGGACATGTCCCTACTCACAGTCCCCACGTGTTCTGTGATTATGACACTAGGAGCAGTCCAGACCCTGCGCAAGTCAACCCCTCTGTATGGCAGTTTCCTTGTCAGTTCAGGGGGTGTACAAGCTGAGACATGAGTTCACTGCAGTGGGGACCAGGTCATTCTGAAACATTTGGATGCCCCAGCCCTTCTATCTCAGGTCCCTGGGAAGCCAGCTCAGAGGTATCTGTGA